GATGATATTGCAACATTAGTGTTGTTGTCTAAAGTGTGAGTGTGGTGTTGATATGTTGTTATTTGTGATTGTTGCGTGTGATGTTGTTTAGTGTAGAGGGATTGAGTTGTGGTAGTTGTGTTTGTGGGAGTATGTGGTAGGTAGTGAATGTGTTTGTAGTGGTATGGTTGTTGCCCCATGATCGAGTGATCACACTTAGTGTTGATCTTATATTTCGTGGGGGAAATGGATGAGTCCTGATCGATCTACACATGTTTTGTATACTGGACATGTGTGTGAACCAATCTGGATACATGATTGTGTGTAATTGTGTAATGGATGTTTGTGTATCTGTGTTGTTTGTGATTAGTTAGTTTGTGTTAGGTGTTGTTTGTTTGTTTGTTTGTGATTGTTTGACTGATTGATTGATTGGTGTATATATTGGTTATGTTGTTTGGTTGATGTTTGTTGAGTGCACATCAGAGTCAGCTGCATTCGGTTATACATCCACGTGTGCAGTGTTAACTGTGTGCTAAATAGACATGCGATATGATAGTGTTGGAATTATTTCCACATGATGATATTGCAACATTAGTGTTGTTGTCTAAAGTGTGAGTGTGGTGTTGATATGTTGTTATTTGTGATTGTTGCGTGTGATGTTGTTTAGTGTAGAGGGATTGAGTTGTGGTAGTTGTGTTTGTGGGAGTATGTGGTAGGTAGTGAATGTGTTTGTAGTGGTATGGTTGTTGCCCATGATCGAGTGATCACACTTAGTGTTGATCTTATATTTCGTGGGGGAAATGGATGAGTCCTGATCGATCTACACATGTTTTGTATACTGGACATGTGTGTGAACCAATCTGGATACATGATTGTGTGTAATTGTGTAATGGATGTTTGTGTATCTGTGTTGTTTGTGATTAGTTAATATGTGTGTATTTGTGTTAGGTGTTGTTTGTTTGTTTGTTTGTTTGTTTGTTTGTTTGTGATTGTTTGACTGGTTGATTGATTGGTGTATATATTGGTTATGTTGTTTGGTTGATGTTTGTTGAGTGCACATCAGAGTCAGCTGCATTCGGTTATACGTCCACGTGTGCAGTGTTAACTGTGTGCGAAATAGACATGCGATATGATAGTGTTGGAATTATTTCCACATGATGATATTGCAACATTAGTGTTGTTGTCTAAAGTGTGAGTGTGGTGTTGATATGTTGTTATTTGTGATTGTTGCGTGTGATGTTGTTTAGTGTAGAGGGATTGAGTTGTGGTAGTTGTGTTTGTGGGAGTATGTGGTAGGTAGTGAATGTGTTTGTAGTGGTATGGTTGTTGCCCCATGATCGAGTGATCACACTTAGTGTTGATCTTATATTTCTTTTTTAATGATACGGCGACCACCGAGATCTACACATGTTTTGTATACTGGACATGTGTGTGAACCAATCTGGATACATGATTGTGTGTAATTGTATAATGGATGTTTGTGTATCTGTGTTGTTTGTGATTAGTTAATATGTGTGTATTTGTGTTAGGTGTTGTTTGTTTGTTTGTTTGTTTGTTTGTTTGTGATTGTTTGACTGGTTGATTGATTGGTGTATATATTGGTTATGTTGTTTGGTTGATGTTGTTGAGTGCACATCAGAGTCAGCTGCATTCGGTTATACGTCCACGTGTGCAGTGTTAACTGTGTGCGAAATAGACATGCGATATGATAGTGTTGGAATTATTTCCACATGATGATATTGCAACATTAGTGTTGTTGTCTAAAGTGTGAGTGTGGTGTTGATATGTTGTTATTTGTGATTGTTGCGTGTGATGTTGTTTAGTGTAGAGGGATTGAGTTGTGGTAGTTGTGTTTGTGGGAGTATGTGGTAGGTAGTGAATGTGTTTGTAGTGGTATGGTTGTTGCCCCATGATCGAGTGATCACACTTAGTGTTGATCTTATATTTCGTGGGGGAAATGGATGAGTCCTGATCGATCTACACATGTTTTGTATACTGGACATGTGTGTGAACCAATCTGGATACATGATTGTGTGTAATTGTGTAATGGATGTTTGTGTATCTGTGTTGTTTGTGATTAGTTAGTTTGTGTTAGGTGTTGTTTGTTTGTTTGTTTGTGATTGTTTGACTGATTGATTGATTGGTGTATATATTGGTTATGTTGTTTGGTTGATGTTTGTTGAGTGCACATCAGAGTCAGCTGCATTCGGTTATACATCCACGTGTGCAGTGTTAACTGTGTGCTAAATAGACATGCGATATGATAGTGTTGGAATTATTTCCACATGATGATATTGCAACATTAGTGTTGTTGTCTAAAGTGTGAGTGTGGTGTTGATATGTTGTTATTTGTGATTGTTGCGTGTGATGTTGTTTAGTGTAGAGGGATTGAGTTGTGGTAGTTGTGTTTGTGGGAGTATGTGGTAGGTAGTGAATGTGTTTGTAGTGGTATGGTTGTTGCCCCATGATCGAGTGATCACACTTAGTGTTGATCTTATATTTCGTGGGGGAAATGGATGAGTCCTGATCGATCTACACATGTTTTGTATACTGGACATGTGTGTGAACCAATCTGGATACATGATTGTGTGTAATTGTATAATGGATGTTTGTGTATCTGTGTTGTTTGTGATTAGTTAATATGTGTGTATTTGTGTTAGGTGTTGTTTGTTTGTTTGTTTGTTTGTTTGTTTGTGATTGTTTGACTGGTTGATTGATTGGTGTATATATTGGTTATGTTGTTTGGTTGATGTTTGTTGAGTGCACATCAGAGTCAGCTGCATTCGGTTATACGTCCACGTGTGCAGTGTTAACTGTGTGCGAAATAGACATGCGATATGATAGTGTTGGAATTATTTCCACATGATGATATTGCAACATTAGTGTTGTTGTCTAAAGTGTGAGTGTGGTGTTGATATGTTGTTATTTGTGATTGTTGCGTGTGATGTTGTTTAGTGTAGAGGGATTGAGTTGTGGTAGTTGTGTTTGTGGGAGTATGTGGTAGGTAGTGAATGTGTTTGTAGTGGTATGGTTGTTGCCCCATGATCGAGTGATCACACTTAGTGTTGATCTTATATTTCGTGGGGGAAATGGATGAGTCCTGATCGATCTACACATGTTTTGTATACTGGACATGTGTGTGAACCAATCTGGATACATGATTGTGTGTAATTGTTAATGGATGTTTGTGTATCTGTGTTGTTTGTGATTAGTTAATATGTGTGTATTTGTGTTAGGTGTTGTTTGTTTGTTTGTTTGTTTATTTGTGATTGTTTGACTGGTTGATTGATTGGTGTATATATTGGTTATGTTGTTTGGTTGATGTTTGTTGAGTGCACATCAGAGTCAGCTGCATTCGGTTATACGTCCACGTGTGCAGTGTTAACTGTGTGCGAAATAGACATGCGATATGATAGTGTTGGAATTATTTCCACATGATGATATTGCAACATTAGTGTTGTTGTCTAAAGTGTGAGTGTGGTGTTGATATGTTGTTATTGTGATTGTTGCGTGTGATGTTGTTTAGTGTAGAGGGATTGAGTTGTGGTAGTTGTGTTTGTGGGAGTATGTGGTAGGTAGTGAAAGTGTTAGTAGTGATATGGTTGTTGCCACATGATCGAGTGATCACACTTAGTGTTGATCTTATATTTCGTGGGGGAAATGGATGAGTCCTGATCGATCTACACATGTTTTGTATACTGGACATGTGTGTGAACCAATCTGGATACATGATTGTGTGTAATTGTGTAATGGATGTTTGTGTATCTGTGTTGTTTGTGATTAGTTAATATGTGTGTATTTGTGTTAGGTGTTGTTTGTTTGTTTGTGATTGTTTGACTGGTTGATTGATTGGTGTATATATTGGTTATGTTGTTTGGTTGATGTTTGTTGAGTGCACATCAGAGTCAGCTGCATTCGGTTATACGTCAGCGTGTGCAGTGTTAACTGTGTGCGAAATAGACATGCGATATGATAGTGTTGGAATTATTTCCACATGATGATATTGCAACATTAGTGTTGTTGTCTAAAGTGTGAGTGTGGTGTTGATATGTTGTTATTTGTGAATGTTGCGTGTGATGTTGTTTAGTGTAGAGGATTGAGTTGTGGTAGTTGTGTTTGTGGGAGTATGTGGTAGGTAGTGAATGTGTTTGTAGTGGTATGGTTGTTGCCCATGATCGAGTGATCACACTTAGTGTTGATCTTATATTTCGTGGGGGAAATGGATGAGTCCTGATCGATCTACACATGTTTTGTATACTGGACATGTGTGTGAACCAATCTGGATACATGATTGTGTGTAATTGTGTAATGGATGTTTGTGTATCTGTGTTGTTTGTGATTAGTTAATATGTGTGTATTTGTGTTAGGTGTTGTTTGTTTGTTTGTTTGTTTGTTTGTTTGTGATTGTTTGACTGGTTGATTGATTGGTGTATATATTGGTTATGTTGTTTGGTTGATGTTTGTTGAGTGCACATCAGAGTCAGCTGCATTCGGTTATACGTCCACGTGTGCAGTGTTAACTGTGTGCGAAATAGACATGCGATATGATAGTGTTGGAATTATTTCCACATGATGATATTGCAACATTAGTGTTGTTGTCTAAAGTGTGAGTGTTGTGTTGATATAACTGCATTGTTTGTTTATTTCTGCTGTTCATATTGTTTTTTCGCTGTCATGAGGATTTGTGTTTCGATGTTTTTGTGGTTGCCGTAGTCATGTTTTTTGTTTCGTTTGAATGAGAATTTTTTGTCTTGTGTGTGTTTTGCTTTCATAACGGTATTTTCGATTTTACTCTTTTGGTTTTTGTTAGGATTGGAATGGTGAATTTTTGTTTGTCATTGTTGTTTTGTGATGAGTTAATCTATTAAAAGATTCTCATATTATTGAAGAGTAGTATTCGAACGAAGAATTGGTTTACCAGATATGCTTCGTTCAATTATTGATGTTGTAATATGATGGAGATCTTTAAATGAATAACATGTTTGTTCGTTTTTTATTTTTGTTTTCTTTTCGTTATTTAGGATGTTTCACCAAATATTATTCATCTACTGTTGGATATTCATAATCTTCGTAATGCTAATCTTCCTTCTTCGTGTACATTGTGTATATTTGATGCATTGTTTCGAATAGGACTTGTGAAAGAATTAATCCCATTTGAAGATGGTATCATTTGTGATTTCAGCTGTTTATCTATCGATTTCACTTATATTGTTGGTTCAATTTATGATGATACAACATTGAGATCCGATGTTCGTGATATTATTGATTGGTTTGTATCACCACTTCGTTTACTTTCAGAACGTAATATCACAATTGACAAAAAATGTTGTGGATGTAGAACTGAATTACAAGTTCCTTTATCAATCCCAATATTTTGTTTACCACTAATTAGGTAAGTGTTTTAATTCATTTGTTTTCCTTATTGTTTTCCCTATTATCTGTTGTCAAGTAAACTTTCACTGATAACAATCAGTTGACATCTGTACAGTAAATAACTTACTGATACTGATCTTAACCGTACGTTTTGATATAAACCATCTGCCTGGTTTTTTTTATCACATGATCGACACGATCATTAGTTGAAGACGCTGATTGGTATTGCCCAGAAACGATCCCAATATCACCGAGTGATTTACACTTTGTATTCTTTATGTTTGTTGCCCTGGTTTTGCTTTGTATAAACAACTCGATTTGAAAAGGACATGCTATGCTCCATGGAAAAGATGAATAAATGTTTGATTCCTCTCCCATTAATTATTTTGGTATAAATAATTTATCTCAAATACAAACAGATCCACTTAATTACCGTAAACATCGTCTAGAGATTTGAAGTGATTTGAGTCCCAGCCCTCGAATGGCCGAGAGTGGGGTGGGTCGACACACTCAAATACTTCACTCTCTATCATTAGTTTAGGTGTCGATGCAACCCAATCTTGAAGCAACATTTTGCATTTCGAGGGAGAGAATCTCATCCCGAACATGTACGCATTGTTGCTTAGAGTATTCAAAAGGCTCTGCATTTTGTCAGCGTCTTCACTAAATAGAACTGTGTCATCGGCATATTCCATATCAACAAGTGAGAGTCCCGCCCTCAAATGCCCTGGTACAGCCGAGAGTGGAGAGAGTCCGCTCTCCCTCTCGAAATGCTCTCACACGGCCACGCGTATACAGCCTCTGCCAGGGAAGTCCTACTCACTGCCTTCTCGCACCACGGGTGTTGTTTACGAAAATGAGAGGCCGAAAAGCGAATGTTCGACTCTTTAACCGGATTCCAAACCAATGGTGCACATGGGCTCCAGTATCCTGCGTAACAAATGGCTTATGAACCAATCGTTGGTGACTGGCTACCATGGGACTGCATCTCCTTACGATGCTCCATTGCCTTGTGGATCAGACCTTCAGGTCGAAGTCTCGGGGTGTGGCCCCCTAAGAAAACCACCTGCTTCGGTCTGGGCACCTGGGCAGTATCACAGCCCTTACACAAATCGAATGACTTAAGTGGCGCATGTTTCAAAGATAATAATAATAAATTTGAGTCCCAGAATCTCCTTATAACAGTTTTTTTCATTATTCTACTACTAACGATACTGTTGCTACTGCTACAATCCTGATATTAATATTGATTATTCTACTTTGTTGTGCTAACGTGTTTTGAGAAGTTGAACCGATCCTCATATGTAACAAGTGTAATGTTGTATATGGTTAACTGTAATTTGATTATTCAGCATTGGGTAGTTTAATTTATGTAAGACTTCAATAATACTTCATAACTGTCAAAATCGATGCATATTGATCATGATTCAAATCTGTAACTTGTTCAGTAGTTGAGATCATGAGTCAATTGAAGTTAGACCACCATGGAAAACCTGGAAGTAGTGGATGGCCGTTTCGTCTTATTACAGAATTCCTCAGAAGTATTTAACATCTTTTGAAACGATTTGACACGATATTGAGTTTTCAATATTCTACACCGATGTCTATCACATTTGAAACTTAGTATATCCTAACCAAGTTGAATATGTTTTTCCTCTATCTCTCTTATACAACAGACCATTACCGGTGGAAAACATTTTAAAATTATTGGCTAATACATTAACAACACTTGTAAATACTCTACATTGTTCTACTGAGTTCAGTTCAGGTTAGAATTACATCTTATTTTCTTTCTTTTTGTTTGTGTATATTGGTGTAGAGCTGTGTATCACACCGACAGAGTGTAATCTCTGTTTTCGGGTTGGAGCTCAGCGATATTGATTGTTTGTGTTTGGATTGTGTTGAATTGTGTGCATGCAGTTGACGCAGCTGCACTCTCGGGTAGATGTGTATTGTCTATCGGAATTCGGTTGCTGCAATATTGAGTGTTACCCTTGCCTCTTACTGCCTATGACTGTGGCAGTCCATCATTGAGGGTTGACATGTTCTGAGAGTGTTTGTATTCATGTTAAGTATGAATCGTGGTTTTTGCCTTGGTGACGATAGTGTTGTTGGTTGTTTATGTGTTTATGTTAATTAGGTTTTGTGTGTGTGTTTGTTTGTGGAGCGTTTGTGATTGTGATTGAATGAATATGGTCAGTTGTTGCCCATAATACGTTGTGTACTGGGCATAAATGTAGAGCTGTGTATCACACCGACAGAGTGTAATCTCTGTTTTCGGGTTGGAGCTCAGCGATATTGATTGTTTGTGTTTGGATTGTGTTGAATTGTGTGCATGCAGTTGACGCAGCTGCACTCTCGGGTAGATGTGTATTGTCTATCGGAATTCGGTTGCTGCAATATTGAGTGTTACCCTTGCCTCTTACTGCCTATGACTGTGGCAGTCCATCATTGAGGGTTGACATGTTCTGAGAGTGTTTGTATTCATGTTAAGTATGAATCGTGGTTTTTGCCTTGGTGACGATAGTGTTGTTGGTTGTTTATGTGTTTATGTTAATTAGGTTTTGTGTGTGTGTTTGTTTGTGGAGCGTTTGTGATTGTGATTGAATGAATATGGTCAGTTGTTGCCCATAATACGTTGTGTACTGGGCATAAATGTAGAGCTGTGTATCACACCGACAGAGTGTAATCTCTGTTTTCGGGTTGGAGCTCAGCGATATTGATTGTTTGTGTTTGGATTGTGTTGAATTGTGTGCATGCAGTTGACGCAGCTGCACTCTCGGGTAGATGTGTATTGTCTATCGGAATTCGGTTGCTGCAATATTGAGTGTTACCCTTGCCTCTTACTGCCTATGACTGTGGCAGTCCATCATTGAGGGTTGACATGTTCTGAGAGTGTTTGTATTCATGTTAAGTATGAATCGTGGTTTTTGCCTTGGTGACGATAGTGTTGTTGGTTGTTTATGTGTTTATGTTAATTAGGTTTTGTGTGTGTGTTTGTTTGTGGAGCGTTTGTGATTGTGATTGAATGAATATGGTCAGTTGTTGCCCATAATACGTTGTGTACTGGGCATAAATGTAGAGCTGTGTATCACACCGACAGAGTGTAATCTCTGTTTTCGGGTTGGAGCTCAGCGATATTGATTGTTTGTGTTTGGATTGTGTTGAATTGTGTGCATGCAGTTGACGCAGCTGCACTCTCGGGTAGATGTGTATTGTCTATCGGAATTCGGTTGCTGCAATATTGAGTGTTACCCTTGCCTCTTACTGCCTATGACTGTGGCAGTCCATCATTGAGGGTTGACATGTTCTGAGAGTGTTTGTATTCATGTTAAGTATGAATCGTGGTTTTTGCCTTGGTGACGATAGTGTTGTTGGTTGTTTATGTGTTTATGTTAATTAGGTTTTGTGTGTGTGTTTGTTTGTGGAGCGTTTGTGATTGTGATTGAATGAATATGGTCAGTTGTTGCCCATAATACGTTGTGTACTGGGCATAAATGTAGAGCTGTGTATCACACCGACAGAGTGTAATCTCTGTTTTCGGGTTGGAGCTCAGCGATATTGATTGTTTGTGTTTGGATTGTGTTGAATTGTGTGCATGCAGTTGACGCAGCTGCACTCTCGGGTAGATGTGTATTGTCTATCGGAATTCGGTTGCTGCAATATTGAGTGTTACCCTTGCCTCTTACTGCCTATGACTGTGGCAGTCCATCATTGAGGGTTGACATGTTCTGAGAGTGTTTGTATTCATGTTAAGTATGAATCGTGGTTTTTGCCTTGGTGACGATAGTGTTGTTGGTTGTTTATGTGTTTATGTTAATTAGGTTTTGTGTGTGTGTTTGTTTGTGGAGCGTTTGTGATTGTGATTGAATGAATATGGTCAGTTGTTGCCCATAATACGTTGTGTACTGGGCATAAATGTAGAGCTGTGTATCACACCGACAGAGTGTAATCTCTGTTTTCGGGTTGGAGCTCAGCGATATTGATTGTTTGTGTTTGGATTGTGTTGAATTGTGTGCATGCAGTTGACGCAGCTGCACTCTCGGGTAGATGTGTATTGTCTATCGGAATTCGGTTGCTGCAATATTGAGTGTTACCCTTGCCTCTTACTGCCTATGACTGTGGCAGTCCATCATTGAGGGTTGACATGTTCTGAGAGTGTTTGTATTCATGTTAAGTATGAATCGTGGTTTTTGCCTTGGTGACGATAGTGTTGTTGGTTGTTTATGTGTTTATGTTAATTAGGTTTTGTGTGTGTGTTTGTTTGTGGAGCGTTTGTGATTGTGATTGAATGAATATGGTCAGTTGTTGCCCATAATACGTTGTGTACTGGGCATAAATGTAGAGCTGTGTATCACACCGACAGAGTGTAATCTCTGTTTTCGGGTTGGAGCTCAGCGATATTGATTGTTTGTGTTTGGATTGTGTTGAATTGTGTGCATGCAGTTGACGCAGCTGCACTCTCGGGTAGATGTGTATTGTCTATCGGAATTCGGTTGCTGCAATATTGAGTGTTACCCTTGCCTCTTACTGCCTATGACTGTGGCAGTCCATCATTGAGGGTTGACATGTTCTGAGAGTGTTTGTATTCATGTTAAGTATGAATCGTGGTTTTTGCCTTGGTGACGATAGTGTTGTTGGTTGTTTATGTGTTTATGTTAATTAGGTTTTGTGTGTGTGTTTGTTTGTGGAACGTTTGTGATTGTGATTGAATGAATATGGTCAGTTGTTGCCCATAATACGTTGTGTACTGGGCATAAATGTAGAGCTGTGTATCACACCGACAGAGTGTAATCTCTGTTTTCGGGTTGGAGCTCAGCGATATTGATTGTTTGTGTTTGGATTGTGTTGAATTGTGTGCATGCAGTTGACGCAGCTGCACTCTCGGGTAGATGTGTATTGTCTATCGGAATTCGGTTGCTGCAATATTGAGTGTTACCCTTGCCTCTTACTGCCTATGACTGTGGCAGTCCATCATTGAGGGTTGACATGTTCTGAGAGTGTTTGTATTCATGTTAAGTATGAATCGTGGTTTTTGCCTTGGTGACGATAGTGTTGTTGGTTGTTTATGTGTTTATGTTAATTAGGTTTTGTGTGTGTGTTTGTTTGTGGAGCGTTTGTGATTGTGATTGAATGAATATGGTCAGTTGTTGCCCATAATACGTTGTGTACTGGGCATAAATGTAGAGCTGTGTATCACACCGACAGAGTGTAATCTCTGTTTTCGGGTTGGAGCTCAGCGATATTGATTGTTTGTGTTTGGATTGTGTTGAATTGTGTGCATGCAGTTGACGCAGCTGCACTCTCGGGTAGATGTGTATTGTCTATCGGAATTCGGTTGCTGCAATATTAAGTGTTACCCTTGCCTCTTACTGCCTATGACTGTGGCAGTCCATCATTGAGGGTTGACATGTTCTGAGAGTGTTTGTATTCATGTTAAGTATGAATCGTGGTTTTTGCCTTGGTGACGATAGTGTTGTTGGTTGTTTATGTTTTTCTATTAATTAGATTTTTGTTTGTTTCTGCTTGTTTTTCCTGAATCATTGGTCTTTATCTATTTTTTTTCTCCTTAGCTTCATTAATTAGTGATATTGTTCTTAACATGTTTCTTTTTTATTGAATTGTATTGTTATTGTTATAGTTTTTTCCATTTTTTCGTCACACATCGTGAAATGTCTTTCTTATTATAGTGTTGTTATTAGTGTTTATATAGATATATGGTATTGTAGTGAATGTTAGTGGAGGTTGCTTTGATCCTTATGTTTTTAGTTCGTTATTGCAGAATTATTTATCTTATTGTCTGAACCATACTTTCAATTGTTGTTTCATAAAATGTCTATTATCTGTTTCGAAATTGGGTGTTCCTTCATTGCTACAACAGTCACTCTTTGTTGCTCTTCTTTTCTCTTCGGTATTTTAATCCTTCTGCTGCCAAGCATTCCGTTTCTGATAGGTGTTGTCTAGCTCTTATATAGACATAAGTAGTATATATCACAATATGGTGAATGGTGAATAACATTTTCAAACCTTAATCTTTTCAATTACTGCTTATACTGTTACTGTCTCTAGCACAACAGGATTTCAATCTACAATTGTATCTCTGTACTAATGTGGTATTTCAACTTGAATTGGTGTTCGCACGTACGAAGTTCTGTGTTGTTACCGATTGACTGATACCACAATATGATTTAGATATTGTATTAGATATAATTATTTTCTATTACTCTATTGAAATTTGCAATCTCTATTCATTCAAACATAATCTGTCATTTAAACGTTCTAAACATCATCGTTATACAATACAATCCATATTTGTCATAATTCTCTTACTGTCACTAACAATTTACATCCTTATTTTCTTTTATTATTTGTTGCTTCTTATGATTGTTGTTGCTATGGATAATAATTCGATAGTTGATGTCTATTTAATGGTATAGGAGTAGTTTGGAAGAAAGCTAGGAGCGGCCAGACCAAAACATGACACAAGTGGACTGAGACATGTTGTTAGATGTAGACTACCTGGTTGGGGACCGCAAAATGATAGCAACTGATGGCTAGAGACCCTAAATGACATGGCGCAAAATTGTTTGCAATGGCGCAGGTGCATCCACTCTCTGTACTCTCCCGAATTCTAATCTTCTGAATTCTTCATGTCCGTTTCTTTTTTCTCTTTCCCAATTTATTTCACTGTATTATACTCCTTGAATAACATCTTCAAACACTAATCTTTTCGATTAATGCTTATACTCTTCATACCTCTACCACTATGGGGTTTCAATCGACAGTTGCATCTCTGTGCTAGTGTGGTAAGGCATCTCGAACTGATGTACGTACCTACGAAGTTCTACTTTGTTACTGACTGACTGAACTGTTGATTTAATGAAGCTCTCAATGTTTACAAGTGTTTTATTTCCTTTTATATTTCTTGATAATTTTTTTTCATTGTTTTCAGATCTTATCATAATTTATATCCAGAATATTGTTGTATCCTCTTACGTATTATTGATATTCTCGTTCATTTATTGATTACTAATAATGATTATAAACAATATCTATTCAATCATCAAGATATTCTACATGGAAATTTATTACCATTGTTAATGTCTTCAAGTCATCAGGTAAATTGTTACATCATATGGGGTTGTTTCTTTGTTTAATTTTATTTATTCAGTTATTTAATCATATAGATATTGGTACAAGGAGGTACTAAATAGATATGCGCCACATAAATCATTCGATTTGTGTAAGAGCTGGGATTATTGTATGGATGCCAAAACCGAAGCAGGTGGTTTTCTTAAGGGGGACCACACACGGAGCCTTTGACCTAAAGGTCTAATCCACAAGACAGTGGAGCGGTGTCACGACATGCAATTCTATGCTAGCAAGTGACTAACGATTGGCTCATAATCCATTTGTCTCCTTTAGGATCCTGGATCCTATGTGCATCATTGGCTTGGATTCAAGGTTTTTCAGCTCCACTATGTGGATCCTCCCGTTCGTTTAAAGTGCCAGACATTTGCTTTTTGTACTCTTAATTTCATAAACAATATTCCCACTACGAGAAGGCAGTGAGTATGACTTCATTACCAATGGCTGTATATGCGAAGCACTTCAAGAGGGAGAGTTAACTTTCCCTACCCTCCGCCGTACCAGGGCATTTGAGGACTTTTTACACAAAGAAATTACTTGTTATTTTTAAGAAAATTTTCCTCATCCTTATTACATATTTTTTAAAATTACTTATCTTATTTACCCAGATAAGATTACATGTTCTAAGAATTCTATTCGTAATCAATGGTGGTTTAAGCAATTCTACTGATGATAATAATAATAATTGTTCAAATGATGAACAATATAACTCTACTGTACAAAATATTATTGAAAGATGTTTAAAAGCTGAAAAAATACAACTTGGACATCAAACTGTACGTGATTTTCTAATGCATATACTTCAATTACATGCTGATCGTGATGTGAAATATTGTCGACAAGCGGCTGAGGTTAGTTATATATATGTATATTCACGTTCATTATTGATTTATTTAAAGATTGTTTCCAGTATGAAGTGCCCATCGTGGAGGAGCACGGGCCATTCACCAGCATTCTTCATCGAACTCTTTCCTGAACCCTGCTTTCCAGTTGCTTCTGCCTGTAGCTCTTTTAGGATTACTCCCGAGTAAAGGAGAAGAGTTGGGCATGGGTTCAGCAACCCAATCCGTCTTGTGATAAATACGTAAATAATTGTTGTATATGTCAAGGCTCATATGTGTAACCAGCTAACCTAGAGCTCTTCATAAGGTCAACTATTTGACAGGAATCTATAGATCTTGTATTCGTTCTTGCTTATATTCGTCACCCATCAAGGTAGTATACTTCATTCTACAGTCAATCTAGTTGTAACATCTCTGACTGGTCAACATTGGCTAACTCAGATTAATATCTCATCTAGAAACAACATCAGTTCTTTGAATATTACAGATATAAATTATTAAATAGCGGTACTTCCAAGCATGTACCTTGAATCCATGACTTTTTATAGAATATTTTCAACTGCTTAACATTCAAACTAAGAGTTATATGAAGTCATTCAACTAATCGATTGTCATTTATTGCTATTTGGTTTGTGAAATTCAGTCAACAATATAGATCAAACAATATGTGTTCAATTTACTTTACTTACACCTGTTACTCCCAATAGAGCATAAGCTACTGATCAGCATTCTTCAACCCACTTTATCCTGGACCTTTCTTTGTAGTTTTATCCAATTGTTGTTCATTCTTCTCATGTCTGCCTCCATTTCTCAGCGTAATGTGTTGTTTGGTCTTTCTCTTCTCCTTTGGCCTTGAGGATTCTAAGTGATGAGTGGTTGTGTTGGTGACATAGTTCAGTGCTTTCCTCAATGTGTGTCGTATCCACTTCCAGCGCTTCTTTCTGATTTGTTCCTGTGCTTGGATCTGGGTTTTTTTCCTCTCCCATAATAGGTTGTTGCTGATGTATAATAACACATAATCACTTATATACATGTATGTTGTTAATTATCTTTATACAGATTGCTATTCATTATTTATTTGGTCTACTTCATGTTCAATTCACTGCTATTTGGTCTCCAATAAATGAGGCTATTGCAAGTTATTGTGAATCAAATTCATTATTAAAGAAAAAATCTACTAAACATGAAAATTCATCTCATGAATTAGAGATTAAAGAGAAAAATTGGAATATTGAATGTAGAAATTTATTCTGGAGTGTATTTCAACCATTATTAATGGATATAGAGACAAAAATTGTTCATAACAACAATGAGGGTTAGTATCTATCTGTCGATTTTCTTTCATTCATTATTATCTTTTCAATGTTCTGAGTAAACTGTTAAATTATCTATTACGTCCTTAATCGGTCTATTCAGTAATATACATGAGAGGATTTGTCTTGATCTAGATTAAGGCATTGATATGACAAGCTTACTGGTTCGAACCTTAGATGTTAGAAATGTGTGAGTTTGAATTATGACTAACTAACTGCCTTGAGTAGAATAATGAACACTATTCGGCGAGACTCTAATTTAAGGACGACCTTTGAACGAATCTTAAGTGACCTTGACAATTATTAGCCAATCAGAAGAAAGTTAGTATAAAGTGAAAATATATTATATGAAAGTAATGAATTACAATGGATATTCTTCTTTAACATGATTTAAAAACTTGTTAAGGTTTGATTAAGGTTCAGAGGTTCTGAATTCACAATGCATATGGAATAGAAACTCGTCTATTGGGTTAGAGTTAGGTTTACGTGTAAGGTTAGGGTTAGTTGAGGGTTAAGGTTAGGGTTTAGGGTTAGTTAGGGTTGGGGTTAGGTGAGGGTTTAGGGTTAGGGTTCGTTGACGGTTAAGGTTAGGGTTAGAGTTAGGTGAGGGTTAAGTTTAGGGTTAGGATGCTAACATACGAGTTTTTAAATCATGTTAAAGAAGAATATCCACTGTAATTTATTACTTTCTTTTAATATATTTTTACTTTATGCTGCCTTCTGATTGACTAATAATTGAAATTGCTCAAACGCTTCTGACTGGCTCGTCCCTAAATTAGAGTCTCGCCGTCCCATCTGTTGTAACCTCTCATTAATCACCTACTCTCTAAAATCCGCTGTGAACCGATCGTATGTTAGCAGCGCGTGTTGAACTTGGCTCCGTGACCTTGAAATTGCTCAAACGCTTCTGATTGGCTCGTCCCTAAATTAGAGTCTCGCCCACTATTTTTTCGCCTAATTGGTTGACTGGAGAGAAAAAAAAGAAGGCCAGTCAACTGGAACACTACTCGATTTATCCCTGATTCCGATTAGTGTAATAAGATAGAAGAATGAATAGATGACTAACACAACCACAACGCACAAACTTTTGAATTTATAAATTAACACTGTTGGATGTCGGCTCAGTGGTCTAGATGTTAAGCATTCGTATGCGAGACCGAAATTACTTGGTTCATGTTCCGCGTGCGGAATCGTGGGTGCACACTGCTGAGGAGTTTCATACTAGGAGGAAACGACCGTCAAGTATTTCTTAGTGCATATAGAATCCTATCGATCAGTTTCCAATATGTTTACATGACTACTGGCTAGTATATGAAGTCCTTCCTAGTTCTGATCAAGTTCTATCGTGTCGACTATTTCCAACCACCACCCAATAACAGCTCAATATCGAGTCACTTAGACTTTTAATGGGCACATTTCTGTTCGATCGACAGAATTTTGTCGGCAATAAGTAGGACCTGATACACACGACACTAGTCACTACTTAGCGATTAGTCAATTAGACTGTCATGTGTTTTCACCAATCCGTACATGGCATTGAGCTAAGGGATAATAATAATAACTACAACGATCTAAATATTCGTCTCAAGCGAATAAATTATGAAGATTGTGACGGATAACCACTAATGAAACATCTTGCTCAGTTTCATAACAGGTGGTCCTGTTTCTTTTGAATATCTATATTAGCCTCCATATGCCCTGGTACGGCCGAGAATGAGGAGAGTCAGCTCTCCCTCTCCAAATGCTCTCACATGCCCACGTGCACACAACCACTGACAGAGAAGTTTTACTCAATGCCTTGTCTCCACTGGGGTGTTATTCACGAAATTAAGAGGACGAAAAGCGAATGTCCAGCGCCTTAAACGAGTTGGTGGACAAGGAGTCCACCTAGGAGAGTTGGAAAACCCTTATTCCAAACCGATGGTATAGATGGACTCCAGAATCCTAGGGAAACAAATGGCGTATGGACCAATTATTGGTGACCGGCTACCATGGAACCAAATTTTCTAACGTTGCTCCACTGCCTTGTGGACTAGACCTATAGGTCGAAGGTTCGGGGTGATTTATGTGACGCATATCTACTTGATGCCTCCTCGTTCAAAGATTTATGTGTTTAAATAAATAGATCACCAAATCGTTGTACCCCCCCCCCTCCCCACTTAATTTGTTGTTTCTATTCATTTCAGATTTATCAAATGTTTCAGATTCTAAAGAAACAAATCTCTACACTTGTTCATATGAAACTGCCATCATATGGTTCACATCAATTCGTCCAGATTTATATAGTGTACAAAGAAAAACACCTAATAATCATTGGTTAGTTATTGAATCGAGAAAACGTCCAGATTGGTTATCTTATCGATTATGTTTATGGCAGTGTTTACGTTGGAAAATCGCTGCAAAATATACACATTTTCTTACACCATTATTATTGAATATGATTAGGTAAGATTGAAGATAACAATTTGTTTCTTCTCGTTTTGAATGTGTAGTTTGTCTACTTTACTAAACCTTTATAAAGACTCAGATTGATTTTGAAGTATTCGTACAGTGTTCTTGATATAAATAAGAACTAGAGGTTCAGAGTTCTCCATAACGAGCTAACATCAGATGTAGTGTAGAAGTGTTTGGTAGCCATGCAATATGCACTTTGTGTTCAGTTCATTCACGTTTAACATTATCGTTTTAACTCCGTAGTGACAATCAGTAATTACCTGTTATCATTTTAAACGTTTTGAACTGTATACCAAGGTTTTTCTATTGCTCATCATAAATGATATTTGAATTTCTTACAAAAGCTTAAAAAGCTCATTCTCAGCTCTAATCATCCAGTCCCTATTATATACTCTTACCTTGACAATCTTTAGCGCCTCTTCAATTTAGCGCTTGACTTTGAGACTATTTTTCAATGATCGTTAAGTATTGATGTCGGTCTGTTTTCTCTTTATCCAAAAGTCGTTGCTACTAGACAATCTAGATGAAAAACTCATTACTCTGATTAGACTACAATGCAAACTCTTTTCTTGATTAACGACTTAATAACACGAACTTCAAAATAAGTCAATAATTTGTTTTTCACTTTAATGTTGCCAAATCCAATTCTCCATGGAAATACTTCGTACGTTAATACGTATTCAGGTCTTTAGCTTACAATAACTTACATCAATAAGATGAACATTGAATGAAACAATTTTTAAGTATCTTCTTTCTTTTCTTTTCTGTTCTTTTTAGTTCTGCTATTCAATCTGGTTTAAATAAGTCAACAGAACAGTGAGTATTGGTCTTATAATTGTTAATTACAAATGTTCGACGCTTTAACCGATTTGGTGGATATGGAGGATATAACTAGTGGAGTTGGAAAACCCTGACTCTAAACTAATGGTGCACATGGGCTCCCGTATCTTAAAGGAACAAATGTTGTATGAACCAATCATTGGTCACCGGCTACCATGGGTTTGCATCTCCTGATGTTGCTCCACTGCCTTGTGGATTAGACTTTTAGGTCGAAGGCTCCATGTGTAGCTAGTTCCGTAAGAAAATCACCTACTTCGGTTTGGGCACTTGGGCATTGATCCAACAATCAATCGCTCACGCCTGAAAATCGAATGTCTTGCATTGTTGCACATTGTTGAAGAGTTACCTACTAGGACAAAACCTGATTCCAGGTTGTGTTTTTTTTTCAATGATCTCTTCAACTGGAAATTAGCAAAATAAAATTGCACAAAATCTTAACGTTTCAATGCACAATTTGTTTTTCTTATAGACTTCTATTGACTATCCTGAATTTGTACTCTCAATTCAATAATATCAAATCAATTTATATGGAGAAAGAGTTCAAACAAAATATTTACCAAGTAAGTATATTACAAATAATAATCAACTAGTCAATGTTCATAGGTATTGAAACAATATGACAATAATACGATAAGACCTTGATTAAATAAGTTTTTTTTACTTTACTTAGTTACGCCTGTTACTCCCAATGGAGCATAGACCATCGACCAAGAATCTCCATTGCACTCTGTCCTGGGTCATCTTTTCTAATTCTATACAATTGTTGTTCATTCTTTTCATGTCTATCTCCATTTCTCAGCGTAATGTGTTGTTTGGTCTTTCTCTTCTCCTTTGGCCTTGAGAATTCCATGTGATGAGGGCTTGGGTTGGTGACGTAGTTCAGTGCTTTCCTCAATGTGTGTCGTATCCACTTTCAGCGCTTCTTTCTGATTTCTTCCTCTGCTGGAATCTGGTTTTTTCCTCTCCTATATTAGGTTGTTGCTGATAGTGTCTGGCCAATAAATCCGAAGTATTTTTTGAAGACAACTGTTAATAAACACTCCTGGAGTTCTAGTGAGAAGCCGTTACCAGTGGAGTTCAACCGGTCTGTTGTGAGATAACAACTCACTGAAGACAATGGTGTACGGTGGCGCAACTTCGTGGATTGGTTGAAGTTAGGCATTAACACCGTTGGGTGCCGACTCAGTGGTCTAGTGGTTAAGTGCTCGCGCGCGAAGCCAGTAGGTCCTGGGCTCGAGCCCCGCGTGGTGCGGGGTCGTGGATCCGCACTGCTGAGGAGCCCCATACTAGGACGAAACGGCCGTCCAGTGCTTCCAGGTTTTCCATTGTGGTCTAGCTTCAACTGACTCATGATTTCAACCTGTGAAACACTTGTATCTTCTGGATGATGGCTTTAGTGGTTCGCCAAGTTTCCGTCAAAAGCAGTAGAACTGTGTTGACATTTGTATTGAAAATTCTGACCTTGGTGTTGGTTGACAGATAGTTGTTTTGAGTTCCAAACGTTTTCCAGTTGTAAATATGCGCATTTAGAAAAGTTACGATTAGATAAATACTTTTTTCCATATCTTTATCTGCTAAACTGCCACATGTTTACAATTGATTGATAGCTGACTATTGACCAATGTCATATTCGTTAAATCTTTCTTACTTTTGATCGAAATTCATGTAGCAATGTACACACTACTAGTCTAAATGATTTCATATCGTGTACTCTCTTTTGAGAAGTAAGGAGTTGGTAGTTGGAGGTAGTTGATAGAACACCCTGCACTATCCTAGGTTTCTTGCTATTTGGGATTGGTTAGCAAGTTCAAACTGTAATCTTGAGAGAACTGATTCCCTCTCTGATTCGATCCGGTGTCACTCTACGTAACAGTCTGCACTAAGAAGTATCTATTATACTTGATATTGGTCACTACTCAATAATCGGTCAATTGTAAGTACATCACAATCCTACACGAAGTCAGTTACGGTTTGAATGGTGCAAATCGGTTCATTGTCTTTGATTACCAGATTTCCAGTGATTCACATGTTTTTGTTTATTATTGTTACTACATTATTTACGACTTCTTCACCATACATCTAATATCATAGCGCGATTTATGTGAACACGATTTTGTACGCGAGGCTTTACCTTGATTGTAATGACAGTGACAAGTAATCTCTTTTTCAAATTTAATTAATTACTCTTTTCACTATACTAAAAATATATTCATCTATGCAACATTGAACCAATTCATCACTTTTTTCACGCGACGATGGTGTTTTTACGAAATTGCGAGGACAAAAAGCGAATATCCAGTGCTTTAACGGGGTCGGTACGTATAGAGGATCGACCTAGGATAGTTGGAAAACCCTCATTCCAAACCAATGGTACACATGGGTACCAGTATTTCGAGTGAACAAATGGCGTATAAACCTATTATTGGTCATCAGCACCCATGGTACTACTCTCCTAAAGTTGTTCCACTGTCTTATGGATTAGATTTCTAGGTGAAAGGTTCACAGTGTGGCCTTCTAAGAAAACCACATGGTTCAGTTTGAGCATCCAGGTTGTATTCTATCCTCCTCAGTGTAATGCATTTGTATTCAGTGCCTTCTTGTACCAATGTTTATCTGATAACAGTTTTCATTTTGATTGCATAATCAATTGTTTCTCGTTTATTATCATCAATATTATTTCTCTTTTCTAATTTCTTTCTTCTTTTTTTCCTTACTATTAAAAGTTATTAAAATTTAAACAACCCACTATACAAAATGCAGCATTCAAATGTTTACTGGCTTATAAACAATCGGCAATTAATAATTATCAGTAAGTTAGTGTTACATTTTTTTTTCATGCTTCAATGTCAAAGAACCGGTGACCAGTAGAACTAATCCGTGTCAAGTAGAGACAGGTATCTACCTCAGTATATTGGAAGATGGTCGCACAATTTCGTGGATTGGTTGAGGTTATACATTAATAACGTTAGATGCCGGTTCAATGGTCTAGAGGTTAAGCGTTTGCGTGCGTGGTTGAAGTCCCTGGGTTCGAATCCCTCAGCGGGATTGTGAATACACACCGTCGAGGAGTCCCACAATAAGACGAAAAACGACCGTCCAGTGGTCTAACACCAATCGATTCATGATTTCAATCAATAATCTCCGATAACTTATAGTGATAATAAAATTTTCTATCTTGATAATCAATTCCCTGTTTAATATGTTACTTCTCCAATGATATATGCACAAATTCATATTTTCCCAATAAATCATAGAATGAATACAAAACAAAAACAACTGACTCATTTCACAAGAACTGAGATTTGTAAATGGCAAATGGATTCGACATTGAAATTACTAAGCAGTTCGACGATTCAGCTAATATTTTGTGATGTTAACTGTGCTTGGGATGGCTAGAAGGAAGTTAGGGACGGCCAAACCAAAACGTAGTGTCAATCCTTGAAATCACTAACTTCTGGTCTGAGCCATGTTGGTAGATGGAGACTACTTGGTTGTGGTCCGCATGACTATCGTAACCAATAGTTAGAGACTGGATTATATGGTTGAGAATCGATCACACTTTTTGTTTCCCTTTAAACTATGGGATTAAGATTGTTTTATATCTTTCGTCTTACCATCTAATTCTTTCTTTCAGTGCTATATCCTTATACACAATATTTTTATATGGTACTACCATTGAATTAACTACTACTATGAATTCGGTGTTGATCTTGTTGTGTTAATGAGGTATGGCAACTCGGACCGATGCATATATGTACCTGATCCTACGTTGTAGCTGACTGACTGATGTTAACTCTGAAAATGCTACAAATTACACAACCGTCACCTTGTATACAAATAATATTCATGTGTACATTAATGACCAACCTAAAGATTGAACTCTTGGATTTTTAGTGGAAAACCGTAACTGGTGTAGTTCATCTATGTCAACTGTGAAACAGTTGTCCATCAATAGCTACGTACACTAACAAACTTACTTGATAGAAGGGGCGTCGACTTTATGAATTCTGAAGAATCTCAGCTTCCACTATTAGACTTCATAATTCTTCTGAATGAAGATCCCTCAACTCCCAGAGCAGAGTCTAAATGGTTTTATTTGTTTATTCTGCTTATCGTTTTTTTAGCAAGCTTGTTTTCTACAGGATGGACTTGTCAATCACATGTCCAACAACTCGCAGTAACCCTAGAAAAGGCAGAGTTAAACTAACCAACTACTTTTCTTTCAATAAACACTAACTTGCATATGATAGTTTATACATAAATTGTATACATCGTAATTTCAACTTTTTTTTGATGACAATGTTTTATCTTTCAGAGAACAAATAGAAAAGATTATTAATCCACAAACATTTCGTGATTCAGTGCGAACATTTCGACTGGACACATCTTTGTACTCTTCGGAACATCGTGAACAAATTGGCGAAGTTTTGTTACGGTAATTTTTCCAATTACATTTTATATATCTGTGATGTAAAATTATGCATGAAATTATCTAACTCACTTATCGTGTCTAGATATATATAGAATTAGTCCTTCGTCACACAATTTGTTTGTTTGGATAGTGGATAGTCAACTACTAACTATTTGGTAATCCATATGTTTTATCCCTCCATGTATTCATGGTTATCATTACTTGGATGGTTGGTTATGTTAAAGAGATATTCTTTTGAGAAACTATATTGTAGAATAATTCAACCGTTCATACTGACTATTTTCATCAAAATATTCTATCTATGAACTTCAACTGATTAGATATTGAAAAGTTAATCATAACTGTAATTCGTATAGGGGATACTTTCATAACAGATGAGTTGATGAGGAAGATTTGTAACTCAGATGGATGATTTGGGTGGAGTTTAGTTCTCTGAGTTGTATAGTTTTGCCGTGGAGCTTTCATCGTTCTTCTGAACTACATCATCAACACAAACTACTTGAAGATTAGAGAATCAAAATCACGACAGTTGAAGTTTATTATCAGTCGTTGGTAATCAATTGTGATCGTAAATGATCCCCATATATGGTAACCAAAGTTTTTGTTATTGAGGAAGTAAAACACCGTCAATGAAATATTAAAAAAATGCCAACATTATGCCAACAAGATTGATCGTTATATTCCTGTTTGAATCTACAAATAGGTCATAAGTTCAAATTCTCAATTAGTTTAGATAACCAAGTATCATCATTGGTCTTTATTATATATAAAAAAAATGCTACTTGAAAGCTGAGTAAATGATTCTGTAAAAAAGTTAAAATTGTTTGTTTATCGAATAGATTTCAGTCGACAATCTTACTGCCCATTTACCTGTTTAATTGTATGAATATACATATTGATTTGATCTCATTATGTCGATTTGTAGAGATTGTAGTATTTCTACAAATTCCCATACTGATAACAAACATGTGCTCACTAGTGATTAGCTTCAAGATGTAACTCCTGGAGTTCTAGTGAAAAGCCGTGACCAGTATAGTCCAATCTTTGTTGGATGTGAGACAGTTATCCACTACAGGAAATGGATGAAGGGTTGAGCAAGATCATGGATCAGTTGACGTTAGACATTAACACCGTTGGATATCGACTCAGTGATCTAGAGACTAAGCGTTCGCGCGCAAAACCTAAGGTCCTGTGTGTGGGATCATGGATGTGCACCTTTATTTGTCCTATATTAGGGCGTAACAACCACCCAGTACTTCCAGGTTTTCAATGGTGGTCTAGCTTAGATCGACTCGTGATTTCAACTGTTAAAAAAAGACATAAATTTGAGTCAAACGTTTAGGAATCCAGTTTGTATTATCACTTATAGCCCACAAGTTTAAAATATGGCTTACCATAAAATATAAAAAAAATATATTCTGGATTACGTTGACGGATCACCAATTAGAGACCAAAAATGTCATTATATTTCATGGTTTCTCATCAACTGCTTAAAACCATTCATGTGTATTCGAGTGTAACATATAAGGTATGATATGATGTGAAACAATTGACACTGATAATGGAACGAATTAAAATGACCAATATTATCAATATTAACTATACAGATATATCTGTCCAAAAACAAATATGAGGTGATTTGGAAATGGTATTAGAAAAAAAACCAAGCGGAGAGTAGCGTTTGAGGTTGGAGTCAAATGAAATCCAAAAACAGATGTGATAAATTGTATGGTAGCTTTCTTAGAGAGTCACACACCGAACCTTCCACCTATGGGATATGCAGTCCCATGGTAGCTAGTGACCAACAATAGGTTTGTACGCCATTTGTTCCCTCGGGATTCTGGAGCCCATGTGCCATTATTTTGGTATGACGATTTTCCAACCCCTCTAGGTTGATCCTCTATATTCATCCAGTCTGTTTAAGCGTTGAAACCAGTTAGAATTCCGATTATAATTTTTCTGTACTGCGTATGCTGTTCGGTCTATGGCCCGGCGTCCTAAGTATTATCCAACGATACGTTACGATCGACAGTGTTAACTTGGAACTAATGTAAGCTTAAGTCATATCAGTCCGCCTATACCCACACCTATTCCCTAACCTCTAGTCTAAGGGAAAAGATAGTTACCAGGCTTCTATTATCATATTTTTAGCCACCCTCCAGCCCGGTATCTATCTCAAACACTCATAGGTTTATATGCGTACATGCCTGACTAAATCACACTATAAAATACAAATTCATAGTTGCGCATAAACAGGTGGTATGTGGAAGTGAAACTGTGCAGATTGTAAACAATTGATTAGCGGTAATTTCGGAGTAATAAAGCATATATTCCAGGCTAACGAGTCGAACGGAAGATTATCATTATTATTACTTTTACCACTTAAACACATAAAAATTGGTGCAAATGGGCACCAGTACACATAATGCACACTAAGTAGTTATCATTCAATTTGTGTGGTGACTGAAATGCTGTTCGTGACCAAATTGAAACTGGAGATTTATTTGGAAGGACATTGCCCGAGCCTTTGACTTAGTGATTTTATTCACAAAGCAGTAGAGCAACGGTAGGAGATGGGGCCCTATGGTAGCTATTGACCAATTATAGGTTCAAACACCATTTATTTCCTCAGCAGCCCATGTGAACTCTTGATTCGAAACCAGGGTTTCCCAACTCTCCTAGGTGGACCATCCGTACCTACAAAGCGTCGGAAATTCTCCTTTCGTCTTAAATTCTTAAGCAACTCCTCAGTCATGAGAAAACAATGAGTAGGACTCTCCCCCAACGTGGGTCGTATTCAGACTCAAATGGGAGTTTATGATAAACGGAATACAAGAACATAATAGTCTTGTTATTTTATATTTGTACACTGGGAATAAATTCTAGTCAATAGTAGTTCATAAAGTAGTTTCGTCGGCTACCATTTTTGTGGCATTCCCTCGGCAACAACAGAGATCTGATAGACGTTCATTCTGTTACTTATTTGTTCAAGTATTGATTTTTTTTCTAAATTCATATATTTCATTCATAAACAGGAAACTGAAGAACAGTCTATGCATTCTCTCTTAATTTTTTTTTCCAGTATATTATACGGTCGATTACAATTGTCCAAAGGTCAATTCACATCAGCTGTATTCACTAATTTAGCACAATATACAAATTCTGAATTGAATTTATTTCTAAGCTTTTTATTAGATCCATTTGTCAAAGAAACAGAATGTATTCAGTTGTCTACCAGTACTTTTAGTCCTACCGCTATCTCATTAAGTGATTGTATTCAATCGGCTCGACAACGTGTTCAACATACAATTGATGGTAAAGATACATTATCCTGGTCTCGATTACATGCGTACGTTTCATATTGATTGATTAGTGAAGTTTAATATTCATAATCTTTGAAGTTTATTAACTAAGTTGGATTTATCTGTCTCCTCTAGTGAATTATTTTTGATACACAAAAGTCATATGGCATTGTGGTGAAGATCATGACAAGTTATAAAGGAATAATCCTATCTAACATCCTACGTACGGAATAAAAAACAGAAAGTTTTATAACTTTAGATATTTATCTTTATCAAATGCTAACTTCCATTCCTAATACACTATTCCGTATCCATTGTAACGCCCTATACTTGAATAATTACACATTCTAAACTGCACAGTTCATCTTCAGCCAGTGGTCTTGAGTGCTAACTAACTTCTAGTCTGAGCCATGTTGATAGATGCAGACTACTTGGTTGGGGTCTGCATGACTATCGTCACCAATATTTGGAGACTTGGTGACATGGCTCAGAATCGATCACGATGGCGTCGGTGTATACACTCTTTGTCTTCCTTTAAACTATGAGATCACAATTGCTTCATGTCTTTGTTTCTACGAACTAATTCTTTCTTTCAGTACTACATCCTTATACACAATCTTTTTCATATGGTACTACCATTGAATTAACTACTTCTATGAATTCGGTGTTGTGTTAACGAGGTCTGGCAACTTGGGCCGATGTATATATGTGCCTGATCCCACGTTGTAGCTGACTGACTGACTGAATGTAAGCTACAGTCCTATTAGTCTGCAATCCACGAGTTTTTCTTGATACACTGCCCTAAGTTCAAAGAGAAGTCAGCTAACAACTATCTCAGGTATTCATTAGTTCATATACATGAGTTATTAGACGAAAAATAACACAAAACAAGATATAATATCTCGAACACAATCATGCCATATTTAACAGAGAGCGTAGCAAACAAATTGGACATAATTAATTAATGTTAATTGAGGAATAGTAAAACGTATAATGACAGTTAATAGATCTATCCATTGAAAGCTTACAATAAGGATAACATGCAAGTACAACGATACATTTATCAACTAATTATACAATCAAAAGCTCAATTATGATCATTAGAAACGATAAATGTCATTACATAACACTTCTGTATAAATTGGAAGCAGACGTGAAGGCAAAGATTATCACAGCAAGGGCTGCATTCCTACAATTGAAGAACATATGGAACCTAAAACAACTTCCGATCAATATCAAAGTCAAAATCTTCAATAGGAAAGTCAAAACAGTTCTACTGTATAAAGCTGAAAATTAGAGAACTATTACAACTACATCGTTAAAAATGTACAAGTATTTATAAATAGTTGTATACACAAGATATTCAACATCCATTGGCCGGATACCAGCAGCAACAGCCTACTGTGGGAGAAGACATATCAGTTCCCAACTGAGGAGGAAATTAGAAGATGATGGAAGTGTATAGGACATACATTACAGAAACCACCAAATTGCTTCACGAGGCAAGCGCTAATTTAAAATCGTGAAACGAAACCAAAAATAGGAAGACGAAAGAACACACTGCGTTTGGAATTGTATGCATTTTATTTTATTTAGCAGATTGATATTAGTACAAGGGGGTACCAGATACATATGCGCCAAACAAATGTCATTAGATTTATGTGAGGGCTGTGATACTAATAGGGTGCCCAAACCGAAGCAGGTGGTTTTCTTAGGAAGCCACGCCCGGAGCCTTCGATCTGCAGGTCTGACCCACAAGGCAGTGGAGCATCGTAAAGAGATGTAGTCCTATGGAAGCCGATGACCAACGATTGGTTCATACGCCATTTGTTCCTTCAGGATACTGGAGCCCATGTGCACCATTGGTTTGGAATGAGGGTTTGCCAACTCCCCTATGTGGACTCTCCATGTCCACCAACCCAGTTAAAGCAACGGACATTCGCTTTTCGTTCTCTCGATTTCGTAAACAACACTCTCGTCACGAGAAGGCAGTGAGTAGGACTTCTCTGGCAGAGGCTATATACACGTGGCCATGTGAGAGAGCATTTGGAGAGAGAGAGCTGACTCTCCCTACTCTCGGCAGTATCAGGGCATTTGGAGGCTATCGAGAATGCTAATGGTGAACCTATTCTTTTCCACGATATGTAATAGGCATAAGTAAGTTTGTACAAATTGCGAACAAACAGCTTACAGGTCATGGGTGGTTATATACGACAAAATAATCCAGACTTAACCAGTTAAGAGGTTTCTCTATGTTCATTTACTTCTAATATTTTTCTATGCCTTGTCTCTTCCTCTGTATGTTTCAATCTTCTAACAGATTATCACAAATTATCAATCAAACATTAAATTATATGGGTCATCGTTTAAATATTATCCATTTAAATGAGAATGGAGACGATCTTGTTGAGAATTCCAATCCAATAGAACTTTCCAATAATATTCAACGTGCTGATATTCTATTACGTTTAGCATTATCTTTATTAGCTATGGTGTATGAAGTAAAAAAGATTAAATTAGAATCAACTAATCATAATCATCATAATCGATTACCTTTAACATCTCAATTAAAAGCTGTACGTTTAGCTGCTATCAATTTACTTGTCCATTTATTCTCATCCAATTGGTTATGTGAAATTGAATTTTGGGGTAAATCAACGATCACTGATCTGGATCTGGATCAAATTGTTTCGTCATCATCATCAGCAGAAGCAGATCGTTCAATCATTGTCAAAGAAATTTGTTGTAATACATTTCTATTAAATGATTTAATTCATAGTTCTACATTATCATTAAATCATTTAATTATACAATTATGTTATATATGGTCTAAATCAACAATCTATAATGGGTATTTATGTAAGAAATTTTTTAATCAATCATTATTGGATACATTATTTAAACTATTAAATATGAATATGAATACTACTAACAATACTACTAATACTAAATTGAAATTGAAGAATGAGATTATTGAAAAGCTTATAGAAATTATCCATAATTTAACATTTCTACCTGGTAAGTAGTATCCATTGTTTCATAATTGATATTATTATTGTTGTTTCCATGTTATTTTCATATGACTGATTCATCAATCCTACCCCCCCCCGAATGCCCTGGTATGGCCGAGAGTGAGGTGGGCCCGCCCTCCCTCTCGAAATGCTCTCACATGACCACGTGTATACAGTCTCTGCCAGGGAAGTCCTACTCACTGCTTTCTCGCACCACGGGTGTTGTTTACGAAAATGGGAGGACAAAAAGCAAATGTCCGGCGCTTTAACCGGATCTCAAACTAAATCAATGGTGCACATGGGCTCCAGTATCCTGAAGGAACAAATGGTGTATGAACCAATTGTTGGTCACCGGCTACCATGGGATTGCATCTCCTCATGATGTTCCACTGCCTTGTGGATCAGACCTTTAGGTCAAAGGCTCCGAGTGTAGCCCCTTAAGAAAAGCACGTGGTTCGGTTTGGGCACCCGTGCAGTATCACAGCCCACACACGCACGCGCATATATATTTGGTACCCTCTTGTACCAATATCTATGTTTTCAAATAAATAAATAAATTCACCGATCCGAGTCCAACTTAGACAGTCTTAGTATTGTGCTAAACCATTCATATTCAATTGGTATGAGTAGTCTAGAGTCTTTAATAATTCTTTGTTATCCTAACTCTTCTAGTTGAGTTCAGAACGCCAATAGAAGGTTCAACTATGCGAATCATTTATTACAAACATACTTGATTTGTATACTAACCAAACGGAATACATTATAACATAAAATTGGAAATAAAATTTTCAAGAGATCAACCAATAAATGCTCTGGTACGGCCGAGAGTGGGGAGAGTCAGCTCTCACATAGCCACGCGTATACAACCATTGGTAGGAAAGTCCTGCTAACTACCTTCTCGTGGCAGGAGTGTTATTTAAGAAATTGAGAGGATCAAAAGCGAATGTCCGATGTTTTAACCGGGTTGGTGGATATGGAGGGCTCACGTTGGGGAGTTGAAAAACCTTCATTCCAAGCCAATGGTGCACATGGGCTACAGCATCCTGAAGAAACCAATGGTGTATGAACCAGTTCTTGGTCACCGGCTAACATGGGATTGCATCTCCTAACGTTACTCCACTGCCTTGTGGATGAGACTCCTTAAGAAAACCACGTGGTTCGGTTTGGGCACCCTATCAGTATCACGGCTCACACACAAATCAAGTGACTTATGTGGCGCATATCTATTTGGTGCCATTTTGTACTAATATTTAAGTGTTCAAATATATAAATAAGTCAAAACGTGGGAGACTGTAGTCAATAAACTGTGCATAACTTAAGAACGGTAAATTGTATAATAATAACTGTAATCCATAGGTTAAAATGAAGCTTATAATAAGAGGAATATGGATATATACAATTTAATTACAGTGAGACTATAATTTATGGACAACTTTTGAGCAACGCTAAATTGACTTTGAGAGTGTCCACCTAATAACGAAAACCAAATGGAGGCTATAAACCTGGATGAGGAATTAAAATTATGATTGATATTTGATGATTAATGTCAGGAATCAGATATAGGGTTTTCATCATGAACCGATGTCAGCTATAATGCCAAAATCCTATTTATTGAAATAGATAAGTGAGTTTCGCGCCAAAATTCAAGACCTGTTATCTTATACGGGATTGGTTCGTCCACAAATTATAGGTTTGCCTATATATATCATATTACTCCATTAACAGTTCTCAGAAGTTACCCTTAAGTTAATCTTCACTAGGATATAACAATATCTAATGTATATATATCCTTTTAGAGTATTGTATTTTCTCCTTCTTGACGATATTCACAAGTTAATTTCATCAGTCTATGTTCGTGTACACTTTGATGCTTCGACAAATTATGTGTAATTAGAGAGGCTACAAGTTGACTCATTGTTATATTTATATAGAGTAAATGGAATGTAGTTATTAGTGGAATCTTAGGTGTGTATTTCGTTTTATTTTCTTTTAACTCATCTACTGAATTTAGCTGCACCCTAGATTTTTTATTTTCTCTCCGGGACTCGGACCTAGTACTGGTCACTTTAGATACCAAGCCCATTATTAATTCAAAATACCAAGTCCAGATACCCACTCACTTTTAAAATAGGTATGAGTTGTATTTACTTGATATTGTTTTCCTTGAATCTTCCCATTGATGTTTTTGGACTGAAATTGATTAGTCTCTTATTGACATATGTGCATACTGTGTGTATGCCTCGATGTTGCCTTAATTTACAAGCATTATAACGCGATGGCGTTTGAAGCGAACGGTACTGAGTTCGAGTCCCAGAGTGAACATCCAGCTGACGAGTCCCAAACAGGACGAAACGCGCGTCCTGGATTCCACTGCTAGCCACTATCCATCTTTGCTTATAATGCTTGTAAATTAAGGCAATATCGAGGCATACGCACAGTATGCACATATGCCAATAAGAGACTAATCAATTTCAGTCCAAAAACATCAATGGGAAGATTCAAGTAAAACAATATCAAGTGAATTAAACTTCAACCCATTGCACAAGCAAGTGGCTATCAGGACTCAATAGGTAAGTGGATAACGCGATGGCGTTTGAAGCGAACGGTAGTGAGTTCGAGTCCCAGGGTGAACAGTCAGTCAGTCAGTCAGTAACAACGTAGAACTTCGTACGTACGTACATCAGTTCGAGTTGCCACACCACATTAGCACAGAGATGCAGTGGTCGATTCAAATCCCGTAGTGGTAAAGGTAGCAAGAGTATAAGCAATTACTTATCAATTACTTACTTACTTACTCCTGTTACTCCCAATGGAGCATAGGCCGCTGACCAGCATTCTCCAACCCACTCTGTCCTGGGCCTTCTTTTCTAGTTCCATCAACTTATCAATTACAAACTTGTATATTCGCTTTTGATAAGGCATACTGAAGCTTGAGAGCTCCAAGAGCCAAATCATCTCATATGTGAACTACCATTTCTCCAGAGATTTCAGTTACTACATCTCACTGACCGGTCTCAATTAGCATGAAGCCTACAATTTCGAATTTCTTGTTAATCCATTCCAATCACCTAACATTAGGTTGTTTGTTGTGAATATGACCGAAAGTGTATTGTTGTTGAAATCTATAGTTTCCTTCTTTCATCTATGTATATATAAATATATCCTTTTCTTAATAGATGTATCCACTACAGGTCGTGTATTATTACAATCTTTCCATTCGGAATTAGTCAATTATTTAAATAAACGTTTACAAGAATTATGTCAAGTGAAATCGACATTTTTTGCAAATCTTGGCAAAAAACCACAATCAGGTTTACGTTTACAACGTGAATTTCAATTAGTCAGTTATTTAGCTCAATTACCTTGTCATTCAATTAGCAATAATAATCATGCAGTTATGAATCAGTATACCAATATAAATTGTTTGACATCAGTTGATAGTGAACGATTACTTCAAGCATTATTACAATTACTTCAACGTTCATCAATTCGTTCATTGCGTAATACCACTTTGACCACTAAATCAGCATCATTTAAACATCGTGTAGCTAATAATCTCTTAGTGAATTCAGATGAATCAGCTATACGTTATGATTTACAGATGGCTACAGGTGAAGTGGTTGAAGCAGAACTTATACAATCTATTCTTCATCTTGTACAGATTACAACAAATATTACTGAATATTTAAAGTGAGTTTAAGCAGTAATAATTTTTCTAAAACAAATTTCTGAGTTTCATAGTATTGAAATCGCGAACCGACTTTAGCTACAGTACCACTGAAAAACCGAAAACACCAGACAGTCGTTTCTTCCTAGTGTGAGACTCTCACTACAGAGAACCAAATCCAAGAACCCTATCTCACGCAGAAACTTGAAACGTCCACCGTTGAGCCAGTATCCATTGGTATATTTCTATAACTACAATGAATTCAAAATATTATGCAACCATCTCCCATTGTCTGGAGTCAATAACTGTCGAGTATTTGACATGGTTGAACTCCACTGATCTTTTATATATTACTAACATTGGAGTAACTAATTCCATGGATTTCGCGTTCAACTTTGACCGATGCATATATGTGCCTAGTCCTACGTTGTAGCTGACTGACGGAATATAACAATATACTCGGTTCACTTTTATAAAAACATAAAAATGTAAACACATGTATAACAGCCTAGAGACAACTTTGAGTTTTTATTTGTTTTTCTCATCCAACCTTGTACGCTTCAGTCCAGAACACAATCTCAGCTTCCACCATGTGAATCATGTATTTCGAACATATGCTGTTTATAAATATAAGCAGATCAGACCGTATCACATTGTAAAACAGAAGATAATAATTATACAAGATCAAGCCGAAAGTGGCTGTGATTATGAGAAACTGTTACTAATAAATTGGAAATAACATAAGAATAGTAAATCGTATAACAGTAGTCAATAGGTCAAATCAAAGTTTAGAATAAAAGAAATACGAATATACCTATAATATAGTTACTGGATAGTTATCCATCAATCAGTCAGTCAGTAACAACGTAGAACTTCGTACGTACGTACATCAGTTCGAGTTGCCACACCACATTAGCACAGAGATGCATTTGTCGATTCAAATCCCGTAGTGGTAGAGGCGGTAAGAGTATAAACAGTAATCGAAAAGATAAGGGTTTTAAGATGTTGTTCAAGGATTATAATCCAGTGAAATAAATTTCGAAAGAGAAAAAAAGAGACAAGGAGGATTCAGGAGATTAGAATTTGGGTGAACACAAAGATTGGATGCAAATATTCCTATACCATTGAGTATCACACGTCGAGGCATACGTAACACGTGTCCCAGCCATCTCAACTGATGAAGCTTCACTACGTCATCAATTGATTTGCCATCCTTACCTAGTACTTGTTTCCTAACAATTGTGTTACTTCCTCGATGGTCCCAGGATATACGAGCAATGCTTCGAATGCACTTGTGATCGAATACTAGTAACCTTCGAATATCCTCTACTCTTACCGGACATATTTCACTGCCATAAAGTAGAACGGAACAAACTGCTACACAGTAAACACATCCTTTGGTTGATAGACGGATATCTCGCCTACGCCATAAATGACACAAGTTGGCGAAAGTTAGTCCAGCCTTCTGTATCCGTTATCCTATAGGGTTATGTGCATTAATGTAGTCCATAAATAGTTTCCTAGCAACAGTTATGGTTCATTTATTCTTTGTCTGGATCTAACGATATATACGTATGTTTGTTTCTTTTTTTTTCATTTACAGAAAAATATTGGATTTATTTGTTTGTTCTAAATCACGTATTGCTCGTAGTCTCCTATGTCAAGTAGTCAGTGTTTGTACATCACGTTTAACAAATTGGCCAATGAATCTAATTGAAATGATTGAAAAGTTGAATAAGAATACTAAAGAGGATAGTAAAGAAGAAACTGATCAAGTTAATAATAATTTAAGATATTTCAAGAAATATTTATCAGATCATAATCAATCAACTGATGCAATTAATAATCTAACTCAAAATGTACTATTAATGGTAAGCTGTTAATAATGTATGTATGTATTTATTATTTATTCAAGCACATAAACTGGTACAAGGTGGTACCAAATAGATATGCGCCACATAAATCCTTCGACTTATGTGAAGGCTGAGATACGTTCCGGGTGCCCAAACTGAAACAGATGGTTTTCTTAGGAAGCCACGCCCGGAGTCTTCGATCTAAGGGTCTGATCCACAAGGCAGTGAAGCAACGTAATGAGATGCAGTCCCATGGTAGCCAGTGAGCAATTATTGGTTCATACGCCATTTGTTCCCTCAGGATACGGGAGCCCATATACATGATTGGTTTGGAATGAGGGTTTTCCAACTTCCTTCGGTGGTCTGTCCGTAAATAACACCCGCGACACGAAAAGGAAGTGAGTTGGCCTTCCGTGGTAGTGACTATACGCGTGGTCATGTGAGAGAGCATTTCGTGAGGGAGAGTTGACCCTTCTCATCCTTAACCGTACCAAGGCATTTGGGGGGGGGGAAGTATAGAACTCCGGTTGTTGTTGTTGTTGTTGTTATTGTTTTTCTCTCCGATTTGTATTAACCAATCATTAATAATTGCATATATATATATATCTATCCTTATTTCTTTTCTGTAGTTAAATTCATGGGATCTTACACATATTGATCAACCAGATATTCATCAACGTGCTAATGGTTACAATTTACTTATTGAATTATGTATATTAATAAAAATGAATAATCCACCAGAACAATTATTATATTTACATCAAGCTGGTTTAAATTGTGCTATTTATACAATAAGTCATGATGAATTACATTTACGTGATATTGCATTAGATTATACAATACATTGTATTGAATCTATTCAATCAAGATTATTAATGAAACAAGATCAAGATCCAAATGTTACCATAGATACAGATCAATATTATCATGAATTAATTATCAAAGGTTTATGGTTAAATTTAATGAAATATTTACAAGATATAAGTGTATTATCTAGTACAAAACGTTTACATTTATTACGTTTATTAAATTGTATTATACGTACATATCAATTAAGGAGAAGATTTTATTCATTAGCATTATTATTAGATAATTATTCAATGAATAATGATTTTTATATGAATTTACAAAGTGGTACATTAATACGTCAATGTTGTGCAATACGTCGTTTAGCATTGTTCTTACATAATCCATTAACGATTATATCACGTCGTCAATTGAATAATCATCCCTTAGCAACTAATAATCACAGTAACAATAGGGGTAATAGGAATAATTTCCCTATATCACAAAAAGATTTACGTAATATCTTTTTACCAATTATATGGTTTTATTTAGAATCAGAATTCAATTCATCTATTGATTATAATAATATTAATAATAATAATTTATCAGATAATCATAAAAAATTAATTGATTATTGTTTAGATGCTATAGAAGGGATAGCAAAACATTTTGATTGGAAATATTATCGATTTTTAATAGAATCAATAATTCATCGATTAAATTCATGTATAAATATTCATTTAATATCACAAATTATGATACGTATAATTGATGCATTTCAACCACCAAAATGGAATACTTCAATAGATACTAATGATGATAATGACGACGACGACGACGGCGGCGATAGAGAACAAGTGGATGATGAAGAAACCAAAGAAAAGAAACAAAATATTGATGATCATTTAAAGAGGAAACAAAAAGTTTCTACTGAACAAGGAGAAAATTCAATGATTCTTAATTATATGCTTAATGTGATTAAACGATTAGAACCATTTATCATTAAACCAATAAAAACCAATAATACTACTGAATTAATGAATAATAATCAGCATCAAAAAAAGGATAATCAGAATCAGAATCAACCATTGAAAATCTCATTAGTTATATCATTAGTGATGTTGCTAAGACGTTTACCATCAGGATATCTTGAATCACGTTTACCTCATCTTATTTTACGTATTATGGATATTTTAAGACCATCACGTGATATAAATTATCAAATACGTTATGAAGCAATCAAATCATTATCACGTATTGGACGATTATTAGGTCCAAGTAAAAGTTTAGATAAATTATTTGATATTGTTCATCAACAATTAGATCGTGGTGGTTATACATATTGGCAAGTAAGATTATATACATTACATCGTGTATTCAATGAAGTAGAACAAGCTATCATATCCGGTGAAGTATCTTATAAATCTGGTCAATTAGATTATATTGGTCGTATTATGAGTCGACTTTATTTAGATGAAATGATTGGACGATTAGCTGAAGAAATTGATTCAAGACGTTCAGCTAAATTGTCAAATACAAATAATAATGAATTAAGTGGATCTATTCCTATGGATTTACCTGAAGGAAATGGATTTAAATCTCCAGAAGGTGTTACACGTTTATGTAGATTATTATCAAATGAAGGTATTATTCAATTATTTACAGATATTAAAATGGCACTTCATTGTGCTGCATCCGGTACTTCACTTGGATCCATATTGAATAATAATACTAATAATAATAAATCATCATCATTAAATGATTCTGTCGGTTGTGGTATACGATTTCGACATAAAGCATTAGCTAGACTTGAATGTACATTAACACGTCTTCCAATGAAAACTGGATTATTTTCTAATAAATATATTCAATCTCATTTAAATCTTATTATTGAATTATTTCAACAATTAGTTCATGATAATCTTGAAGAGATTACAATCACTAATCTAGATTTCAATGAAACCAATACAACAACAATAATAATCGATAATCATCATCAGCATAGTAACATGATCACCGGTTGGTATCAACCTCAATCGAAATTATTAGAACCACGTTGGAATTATTTAGAATTAGATTATGAACCAAAACGTGAATATCATTCATTGATTACACAATCTGGTTTAAAACAATCATATTTATTAGTATGTTGTGGTTTATCATTATTTATTGGCCTGATACGTTATCAATGGTTAAAACAAGATCAATTAGATCAATTACAATTATTAAATCAATTTCTACCATCGATTATTACATGTCTTCAATCGAAATATATTCAAGTTTTAAATATCACTATTAAATGTATACGATTATTTTTATTGATTACATCATCCAAATCAATAATCAATCAAATATCGAAATTTTCTGAATATATTCATATAATTGGTAATCAATTATTTAATTTATTAAGTAATCAATCATATTTATTCTCAAATAAAATTGGATCGATTAGTTGCCATGCACAACATTTCACCAAGAATTTATATTGTACATTAGCTTTATTAGTTAATCATCAATCTAATTATCCATTATCTAAAGTACAATTATTAACCTTATTAAATATTGTTGATATTGAATTAACGCATAATCAAAATGAATCAATGAATTCATCATTAACATTATTTAATTCAATATTAAAACGTCGTTTACGTGATCCAATTATTCAAACTAATGAGAATGATACTTTACCTTTTATAAAAGATCCTAATTTATCAATGAATAATGAAGGATTAATTATTGCTAAATTATCCGATCATAATTATGATCCCAAAACGGGTAGTGGTGGTGGACAACGTTTACTAAATCTATTTTATCGATTACAATTATTATCAATTACATCATCGTCGGAACAAATACGTAAAGAATCCTGTAATTGTTTAATGACATTTTTATTAAATTATCCGCATCAATTAAAATTTCTACAACAATTTATACAATTTTATATAAAACAATTAGAATATAAAAAATCAATTGGACGATTATCAGCAATTGATTTATTGCATCATCTTATTGATCAATTACCAATTACACGTTTTATTGGTAAACAAAATCAATATTTAGATGAAATGATTTTTTTAAATGTTAGCGTTGCTATTGAACGTGAATCATCAAGGAAATGTCGTCGGATTTTATTAAATTTTCTTAATTTATTATTTAATAAATTACCATTAGATTTAGTAGATCATTATTTCAATGATTATGTAATAGGCTTTTTAACTGCTCCACCAATGACAAGATGTTCAGCACGTTTACTTAGTTTACAAATCATTATATCATTATATAATAGTCCATTAACTATAGTGATTAAACAATATCGTAATCAATTAATCGATATTATCAGTAATGATATATTACCATGTGGTATGATCCAATTAGATCGATTGATACAATCGAATACATTATTAATGATATCTACTGGTTTAAATGAATTATATAATAAAAGATCTATGAAAACACCAAAAGAAGAATGTAATTTATCAAAAATTATAAAAGAGGATGCGAAATGGATGAGTGAAATAGAATTGCCTACAAATGCTTATACAGACGACGACGATGATGATGATGATAATGATGATGATGATGCTTCGAAATTGTCAAAAGATGATGATAAAGAAGATATAGATTTCAGTGATGATGATGATGAAGTTGACAATGTAGATTTAGATTATGATGAAGATACAAATCTTGATCCGTTTACTTCTGCCACATTTAATAATGAAAATATTGAAAATAATAAACATTCTAATGATACTATACAATCTCATTCAACATCATCTAACAAAGAACTTAAATGTTCAAAATCGGTAAGTATTTCAAAGAAACCCTTCATCTTGATTGATTGTCATTCTATTGAAATGAGTAATTGACTATTTACATGGAAAATTGATCTTAGTTAAACCAGTAGGTCTTGGGTTCGAATCTCGCAGGGGGCGAGGTCGTGGATACGCACTGCTGAGGAGTCCCACAATAGGACGAAACGGCCGTCCACTGCTTCCAGGTTTTCCATGGTGATCTAGCTTCAACTAACTCATGATCTTAACCATTGAAATTACTATAATATCCACAAAACTCATCTGAAATTATTAAAGACTAAGCAAAAGTTTCATCTCTATATGTAGTTCTTCAATAGTGAACATTAAGGTAAGACCATAATTTATGGACGACCTTTGAGCGATACTAAAGTGACCTTAAGTGTGTTCACCTAATAACTAAGACTAAGTGAGGATTATAAACCAGTGTAACGAATTAGAATTATCATTTATAGTTAGGAATTACATTTAGAGTTTTCATCACGAACTGATATCAGCTTTAATGACAAAACTCTATTTGTCCAAATGGTTGAGTGAATTTTTGCGCCAAAATCCGTTACCTGTTATCTTATACGTGATTGGTTGGTTCATAAACGATAGTCTCGCCCACATAACAATAATTTTTCAAGAGCCTCCTAGTCTTGTGTCATATTCCTGAAGAGTCTTATACTAAAATGGCAAAGCTGTTCAATCTTTCATGACTTTAAGTTTGAGACGTACACTATAAAATGCAATAATGTCCACAAATTGCTTACACTAAAACGTGCGAGTAATAGACATGTACATTGAAAAATCATCCAGTTTATCACGTAGTAAGGAATTCAATATTAACGTGAGTATACAGGTTAAGTTACAAGAGCTTGGTGCTATTAACCACTAGGTTCATTATCCATTCTAATTCAACTGAAATTGGAAATCTCGATTATTAGGTCTTAATTCATCATTTGAGGGCTACAGGTATCATGCTTGCAACGAGATCTACAAACCGTATAGATTCGATATCATGTATGATTGTGATTGCTCACGGTTAAACTATTCGACAATGGTATGACATTTCAATCTAGTTATACATAGAAAATGCTTAAATTTTCTTTATCTATTGTACTATTTCACTTCATAACCAAAGACGACTAGATTAATTCAGAACACGAATGCAAATGTTCTTGAATGTATATTTAAACAATTAAACTAAGTGAACTTCACGACAGTGTTAAACAGATTCCAAATACAATACGATTAAATGAACATAATTCAATTGATACAATATCAGTATTAAATTACTTACTTACTTACTTACTTACGCCTGTTACTCCTAATGTAGCTGACTGACTGACTGACTGGAGCATATGCCGCCGACCAACATTCTCCAACCCACTCTGTCCTGGGCTTTCTTTTCTAATTCCATCCAATTCTTGTTCATTTTTCTCATGTCCATCTCCGTTTCCCGGCGTAATGTGTTCTTTGGTCTTCCTCTTCTCCTTTGGCCTTGAGGGTTTCTTGTTGGGGCTTGTCTTGCGATGCAGTTCGGTGCTTTCCTCAATGTGTGTCCTATCCACTTCCAGCGCTTCTCCCTGATTTCTTCCTCCGCTGGGATCTGGTTTGTTCTTTCCCACAGTAGGTTGTTGCTAATAGTGTCCGGTCAACGGATCCAAAGTATTTTGCGTAGACAACTGTTAATAAACACCTGTATCTTCTGGATAATGGCTTTCGTAGTTCTCCAGGTTTAATGAAAATAATGTAGCTAATATTGATGATATTTGTGAATCAATACGTACTCAATTAATGATCAAGTAAGTATGATTTCAGATCAAAATGTATTTACTTACGCCTGTTATTTTCAATGGAGGAGCATAGACCGCCGACAAGTATTCTCTAATCTACTCTGTCTTGGGCCTTCCTTTTCTAGTTCTATACAACTGTTGTCCATTTGTCTCATGTCTGTCTACATTTCTCAGCGTAATGTGTTCTTTAGTCTACCTTTTCTCTTTTGGCCTTTAGGACTCCATGTGAGGGCTTGCTTTGATGACGTGATTGGATGCTTTCCTCAATGTGTGTGCCATCCACTTCTAGCGCTTCTTTCTGATTTCTTCCTCTACTGCAGTCTAGTTTATTATCTCCCATAGTAGGTTATTGTTCATAGTGTCTGGCCAACAAATCTGAAGTATTTTGCGTGGGCAACTTTGAATAAGCACTTGTATCTACTGAATGATGGCTTTCATAGTTCTTGAAGTTTCGGCCCTATACAGTAGAACTGTCTTGACATTTGTATTAGAAATTCTGAGTTTGGTGTTGGTTGACAGCTAATTGTTTTAAGTTCCAGATGTTCTTCAATTGTAAATATGCTGCTCTTGCTTTACCGATCCGCGCTTTGACATCTGCATTAGACCCACCATGTTCATCAATGATTAAATGAACATAATACAATGGATACAATATCAGTATTAGATTATCATCTGTTAAATCTTGTTTATTTGACTTGGTTCATTCTTTTGTTTAGTATTCTTCAGACATTATACGTCATCAAAATGATTCTCAAATTAATACATAACTTATGATGGGGAAGTTATTTCATAGAAAGATACAAGATTCTCCTCCATTTATCCGCTTTTTCTGATTGGCTAAGAATGCTCCAATCAGCGTGTTACAACGACCGTTTGTGCGGAACAATCTATATCATGTTATTATCACCAGAAGAAGATCATTTGGTTGTTGTTGTTGTGGGTGAGACTATAATTCACAGACGACCTTTGAGGGACACTAAAGTGACCTTGGGGATGTCCACCTACTTACTAGGGCTAAATAATGTTTATAAAGCAGTATGAAGAGTAAGGATTATGATTTACAATTAATGGTGTTAGGACTAGGAATCATATTTATGATTTCCATTACGAACTGACATCAGATAAAATGCCAGGACGCTAGTTAGACAATTGGTTGAATGAATTCCGCGCTAAAATCTGAAACCGGTCATCCTGAATCTGATTGATTCGTCTAACATGTCGCTTAATCAGCACGTCTCAAATATTTATCGATCAAGAGAATAATGAAATAAGACTGAGTAGATAGGCAAATTATTGTGATATAATATACAAGGCATTCGAAATGATCACATAACTACTGAGTACAACCATAAGAATTAAAGTAATGTATTTGACATAATCATATACTATGTTAGATCTTACATTCTGAAAACGAGTATCCAGTTGTTTGGATTTAATATATCAGTATTGAACAACATTGTTACTTTTGAATCAAACGAAAGCTAAATCAATCTGATGATGATGTACTGAATTTATTATCTCCAGAACTATATTTTTGTTTTAGAGGATACTGTTTGCAAATATATTCAAGCGAAACAGAGATATGTATAAGTGTGTGTCATTAACTAATTGCATCACAGCGATTTTATGGTTAAATTCATTTATTTAAATACAAGCATTTGTACAAAGGGGCACGGAATATATATGCGTTACACAAGTCACTTGATTTGTGTGTCAGCCCTGATACTGTCCAGGTGTCCAAACCAAACCACGTGATTTCCTTAGGAAGCCACACCTGGAGCGTTCGACCTAAAGATCTGATCCACAAGGCAGTGGAGCAACGTTAGAAGATGCAGTCCCATGGTAGCCGGCAACCAACGATTGGTTTATACACCATTTATTCCTTTAGGATACAGGAGCCCATATACACGATTGGTTTGGAATGAGGGTTTCCCAACTTCACTAGATTAATCTTTTATATCCACCAACACCGTTGAAGTACCGAACATTAGCTTTTCGGTCCTCTCAATTTCGTAAACAACATCGCAAAGGCGAGAAGGCAATGAATAGGACTTCCCTTTCAGTAGCTGTATACGTATGGCCATGTGAGAGCGTTTGGAGAGGGAGAGCGGACTCTCCTCGCTTTCGGCCGTACCATTTGGGGGCTTATGCTTAAAAAAGTCAACTGAACAATTTTATCATTAAGAGACTACATCTGATTTATTGTTTAAAAACGATACTACTCAAACAATAGAATTAATTATAGAAATAATTCAGTCTAAACAATAATGACGATTTGTATCATCAAATCGTTAATATTCTAGATTGAAATATCTTTACATCCTAAATAGTTGTATGTGACGATACATTAAATAATCAGATACATCTCGTTGACACAGTCAGTCAGCTACAACGTAGGACCAGGCACATTTATGCATCGGTCCAAATTGCCATACCTCATTAACACAAAAAAATGGATACCGGATTCATAAAAGTAGCTAATTCAGAGGTGGTAATATATAAAAGAAAGATTACAATAAGGATACAGTACAGGAAGAGAGAATTAGTTCGTAGAAAGAAAGATATGAAGCGATTTCAATCTCAGTTTAAGCGAAGACAGAGAGTGTATGCACCTACACCAGTGTGATCGATTCTGAGTCATGTCACCAAGAGTCTCCAACCATTGATTACGATAGTCACGCGGACTCCAACCAGGTAGTCTGCATCTACCAACATGGCTCAGACTAGAAGTTAGTGTCTTCAAGCACTGATGCCGCGTTTTGGTTTGGCCGCCCCTAATTCTCTTCCAACCATCTCTAACACCCGTTAGCATTGTACGACGTGGTGATCAGTGTTCAGGCATAGGTAACACGTGGCCCAACCATCTCAGGCGATGAAGACTAACAACCTCTTCAACTGATTTACCATCATTCCCTAATACCCTGTGTCTAACCTCTTTATTACTTACCCGGCGATCCCAGCAATATTTCTAAGGCATCTGTGGTCAAATACTAGTAGCTTACGAGTGTCTTCTACTCTTAAAGGCCATGTTTCTCTGCCGTAAATTAAAACAGAACGGACTGCCGCGCAGTATACTCGTCCTTTTATTGATAGACGGATATCTCGCCTTCGCCAAAGGTGACGTAAGTTGGCAAAAGCCAAACGAGCTTTTCGAATCCATGTTGTGATTTCGTCAGACACCAACCCATCAGGGCTGATCAGACTTCCAAGATAAGTGGAGTTATCGACGCTTTCGACTACTTCACTTCCTATCCTTAGTTCAGGTGTTGACGCATGCCAGTCCTGAAGCAACAACTTGCATTTAGAGGGAGAGAAGCGCATTCCAAACATTCTGGCATTGTTGCTTAGTGCTACTAAAAGACTCTGCATTTTGTCAGCGTCTTCACCAAACAGGACTATGTCATCTTCGTATTCTAAGTCGATAAGTGGACCTCCTGGAAGAAGATCAATACTCGAGAATTCAGTAGACGAGAATGTTATTTCGATCAGTAGGTCTATGATGAAGTTAAACAAAAATGGGGAAAGTGGACAGCTTTGACGGACACCACTTGAAGTTGCAAAAGTATATGACAGTTCGCCATAAGCTCTGACTCGACTAGTAGTGTTCGAGTAAAGAGCCTTTACAAGGTTTATGTACTTCTGGGGTACGCCTTTCAATGACAGACACTGCCACAGAATCTCGCGGTCTACCGAGTCAAATGCTGCTTTTAAGTCAAGAAAGACCACTATTGACGGACGCCGATAAGTATGCCTATGTTCTAGAACCTGATGAATGGTGAATATGTGGTCGATGCAGCCACGACCAGGTCTGAAGCCAGCTTGGTTCTCTCGTGTTTGCAGTTCACGAGTCTTAGTTAGGCGTCTGATAATTATCGAGGCTAGTATTTTAGATACACATCTCAAATAGGATGAAATTTACTTTCACTACTGTTATGACGTGAAAAACTGCTGCTGAATAGAGGGGTAGCGAATTATTGATCGGACCAAAGACGCGCAGACACGTGGAACGACCTAGGGTTCTGATTGATCTCGCTTCTCCGTCTAACCCAGCCAGTTAAGTCCAGAACACAAGTTTCAGCCTCGGATATATGAATCATTATATTTCAAACATGCTTTGTTTATATACCAGTCAAACAGACCACAACGTACCATAAAATAGAAAATAACATTGTACAATAATGGCCAGTGGGAAAATGACACGTTAAATAAGTATTGACCAATAAGATGATACCATTTCATGTCCAAAGATAGCATTAGGCTTAACTGGATAATTTTTGGGATATTTTCCTGAATATCCCAACAACTACTGATCAAAGTTCAATTATCAGTCAGTCAATCAACGACATAGAACTTCGTACGTACGTACATCAGTACAAGTTGGAATGCCACATTAGCACAGAGATGCAGTTGTCGATTCAAATCCCATAGTGGTAGAGGTAGTAAAAGTATAATCTCGAGTTTGAAGTTGTTATTCAAAGAGTATAGTCCAGTGAAATAAATTTGGAAAGAAAAAAAGAGAAAGGGACATGAAAAATTCAGAAGATTAGAATTCTGTAGAACACAAAAAGTGAATGCACCTACGTCATTGCAAACAATTTTGAACCATGTCATTCATGGTTTCTAACCATCGGTTGCTATGGTCTCGTGAATAGTCCAACTATACTAAAAATAGTATTGTCTATTATATTCTTTATTAAATACTTATCTCTTTTATCCTATCTTATTTCTCTTTTTTTTTTTACAAAGGCTATTGACAACCAATATTTCTTAGTTGCTCATACATTAGAGCATGCTTTAAAATTGGTTTATCAGTTAATCACTGAATCAACAACAGTAGATTCACCGAATACATCAGATAACAATATCAATACATATATATCATCAATTAAATTATCATCATTTTGGCGTATTCTATTAAATGGACCTAAATATAATAATAATAATAATCAATTATGTCCAATCACTGAATTTCAATCAAAGAAACATCGTAAGAAATTGAATAAACGTCGTGAACAATATAGTACATTATTCTCTATGGAAACAACAACAACCACCACTACCGCCGCCAACACCACCCCCACCACAACAACAAAGAATATAGAAAATAAAACTAAAAAAATGAGTTTATTAATTGTAGGACATCGTGAAACACGTGAATGGGCAACACGTTGTTTAAATTTATTATTAAAATTAGAAATCATTACAAATCAAGATCGTTTTATAAAACAAATCAATGAGAATAATAATAATATAGATACTGAATTATCTGGTTTAAATGTTCGATCAGCTATATTTAAAAAATTACAAAAAAATAAAACAAATTTCAATAAAGTAGTAAGTTCATTATGAGTGATATATTTATTTTATTTAAACACATAAACATAGATACTAGAAGGGTGGGGCTAGGTAGGTTTTCTTAGGGGGAAGGGGCTACACCCGGAACCTTTGATATAAAGGTCTAATTTGCCCCCAAATGCCCTGGTATGGCCGAGAGTAGCGTGGGCCAGCCTTCCCTCTCGAAATCCTCTCACATGGCCACGCGTACACATTCACTGCCTTCTCGTGGCGGGGATGTTGTTTATGAAAATGAGAGGACGAAAAGCGAATGTCCGGCGCTTTAACCGTATCCCAAACCAATGGTGCACATGGGTTCCAGTATCCTGCGGGAACAAATGGTGTATGAACCAATTCCTTGGTCACCCGCTACCATGGGACTGCATCTCCTTACGATGCTCCACTGCCTTGTGGGCTAGACCTTTAGGTCAAAGGCTCGGGGGTGTGGTCCTCTAAGAAAACCACCGGCTTCGGTCTGGGCACCCTCACACAAAAGTGTGGTGCATATATATTTGTTGCTCTTTTGTAGCAATATTTATGTGTTCAAACAAACAAACAAAAGTCTTATTCACAAGGTAGTGGAGTAGTAACTCAAGGAGATGCAATCACATAGTGGGCAGCAACCTACAATTGGTTCATACTCCATTTGTTCCTTCAGGATACTGGAGCCAGCCAAGGTGCAACATTGATTTTGAATCATGGTTTTCTAACTCTGTTAAGTGGATTCTCTATATCCATGAACCCGGTTACAGTGTCGGACATTCACTTTTCATTCTCTCAATTTCATAAACAACATCCCCATCACTACAAGGCAGTGGGTAGGGGTTCCCTGTCAGTGGTTGTATGCACATGACCATGTGAGAGAGTATTTGGAGAGGGAGAGTGGACTCTCCCCACTCTTGGCCGTACCCAGGGCATTTGAGAGCAATGCGCTGATGCATGTGTACCTATTTCAGAAGAATGGTCAAATGTGGTAAGATTTCTCCACCATTTTGTTTGTTTGTTTTCTTTAAACGGATTCATTTTGAAATGAAAAAAGCAGCGATATGTTATACTTAAATGCTGTTAAAGGTGTATAGAAGATTTTCACTTTCCCGTTGTCCATATCACATGAAAAGATACTTGAAGTATTAGAAATGAAAACTAGATTGATGGTGGTTTCGCTTATCTTATGCCCCGATAAGCATAATAAATGGTAATTTACGGGATCTATTTATGGACCAATACTATGTGTATATTTTTATCGTATAATTGGTATATAACTAAACTATACATATTCGTGTCCCTCTTATTATAAGCTTTATTTTGATCTATGAATTGTTACTATACGATTTTACATTGTTGAATTATACCTTGTCTATTAATTACTACCTCCCTCATTCACAGCCACATTTGACTAATTTATGTACAAATGTTGTTTCATATTTTATGGTACGGTATGGTCTGTCTGGTTAGTATATAAACTCAGTATGCTTGAAATAAATGATTCGATATTGCAAAGGCTGAAATTGGTATTCTGGATTTAACTGGTTGGGCTAGGCGGAAAGCCAGACCAATCAGGACTCTAGACTGTTCGTACGGGTTTTACGCGTCATTGGTCCGATCGATAAGTCACTGCTCTCTAATTGGCGGTATCGTTACGTTGTACAATATCAAGGCACACAGGCCATAAGTTATAACGGCTCATCTGCGTGTATTGCTAAAAAGCCTATGAAAATACTGGCTTGCTATAGGTGGTGAAAAATCGGATCATCATAACAGATAACTCGAATTATATTAAGGTAGCAGGTTCGGTTGCTTCATAGTAACCACTTTCGTGTTATCTATTCTTAATGTCTCGGATAGACTTTATTGATAAGGATTTCTTTTTATGATCAATAACTTGACATCCCTGACTGTCGCACTGACTATTATAAGTTCGAATGCAACAGAGAACATTGCTTTCCTGATGATTACAGTTATTCTGTATGGTTTCTTATCGATACTACCTGACTTCTATTTAACACTAAACATGTAGTAGTAGGATATTGTTTGTCCATTTTTTTCAACGGACCGATATATCCTGGGTTCGAACCTCACGAGGCAGGTTCGTGGATGCGCTTTGCCAATGAGGAGTCCCACACTAGGATGAAACAGCCATTCAATGCTTTCAAATTTTCCATGGTGGTCTAGCTTCAATTTACTCATGACCTTAACTATTAAAATTACTATAATATCCATAAAATCTCTTCTGATGCTAATACTTAATTCCTTACTGTATAAAATTAGTTTTGTTCAGTAAAGAGATTCTGATGAATAGTTACTAGGGAATGAATTATATATTAAGGAATAAAGAATGAGTATATCTGCTTAACTGTGAACAAGTCTAGATCAATAACTTTATGTATTAATATTACATCTTAATTTAATATTTCCCATCAACTTTCTTCATACATACACTTACACTGGTCAGTATTATGTGTTCAAGGTATGAGTAATACATATCTCAGCTATTACACCCTCATCAACTGATTCGTCCTCTTTACCTAGTGACATACATCTAATCTCATCATACTCTTCATTCAAATGGATCTCAACATACAACCGAGCATCATCATCTACATATCAAGATTTGTTTTTACTTCATTTCTTGTGTTGTTTTCATTTTGCCAATTTTTCTCTTTAAAAAAAAATTTAGTTACAAAGAATACTAAACGATTCATTATTTCAATTGGAAGTTGATGCACGTGTACCTATTTCAGAAGAATGGTCAAATGCGGTAAGATTTTTTCATCATTTATGCTTGTTTGTTTACTTTAAATGAATTCATTATGAAATGGAAAATATTGCCCCAATTAAATTGAACAGATACTTACTTACACCTGTTAGTTCGAATGGAGGAGCATAGGCCGTTGACCAGCATTCTTCAACCCACTCTGTCCCGGGTCTTCCTTTTTAGTTCTATCCAATTGTTGTTTATTCTTCTCATGTTTGTCTCCATTTCTCGACGTAATGTGTTCTTTGGTCTTCCTCTTCTCCTTTGACGTTGAGGATTCCATGTGAAGGTTTACGTTGATGACTCAGTTGGGTGCTTTCCTCAATGTGTGTCGCATCCACTTCCAGCGCTTCTTCCTGATTTCTTCCTCCACTGGGATCTCGTTTGTTCTCTCCCACAGTAGGTTGTTGCTCATAGTGTCTGGTCAACGGATACGAAGTATCTTGCGTAGTTAACTCTTAATAAACACTTATATCTTCTGTATCATGGTTTTCGTAGTTCTCCAAGTTTCCGCCCCATACGACGGAACTGTCTTGACAGATAGTTAGTCAAATTAAACATGGACTGTAAAGTTCCAATTCGAATATTCCCTTAAAAATTACCTCTTTACATTCTAAAAAGTTAAGCGTCATTAAGTCGTGTTTTTTTATTATTTTACCATGACAAGTTGAAACCTGATGATATTGTTCAACGAATAATACAATTTTCATAATTGAACCATCCAGCTCAGACAGAACATTACATTCATCTTAATTTCTTCATGTAACTGAACCTTCTCAAATATATAGACTAATAATGACATAATTAAAAGCTGTTGTCATCAGTTCATAATAATAATAATAATATGAATTAATAGGACTTTTTTTCAAATATCTTGACATCAATTATAAATATTGATTTTTCCTAGTTAGAAACTGCTTCCAACTCTGTTGAATTAATCAATTTTACTGTGTTATTCTGACAAACCCCCCTCCCAAATGCTCTCTCACGGCTACGTGCATACAATCACTGCAAGGAAAGTCCTACTCCATACCTTCTCGCGGCATTACTATTGTTTACGAAATTGTGAGGACGAAAAGTGAATGCCCGACACGTTGACCGGGTTGGTGGATATGGAGAATTCACCTAAGACACTTGGCAGATACTCATTCCAAACCAATGGTGCATTTGGGCTTTAAGATCCTAAGGTAACAAATGGCGTATGAACGAATTATTGGTCACCGGTTACCATGGAACTGCATCTCCTGACGTTGCTCCACTACCTTGTGAACTAGACCTTTAGGCTCGGGGTGTGGCACCCTAAGAAAACCACGTGGACTGATCTCGGGCAGTATAGCAGCCCTCACATAAATAGGATGATTTATGTGGTGCAAATGTATTTGGTGCCTCTTTGTACCAATATTTATATGTTCAAATAAGTAAATAAGCTCGTGTTTTAACATTGCTTTTTTCCCCACCACAAATTCTAATATTATTGGGTGTTCATCGTTGTTTCCATTGACATTGGACTAATTCCTATCACACTGATATATGTGTCGCATATTCCCAGTACATTACCTCTACCACTATGGGATTGGATTCAACAATTGTATCTTTGTGCTAATGCCAATTGATGTACGTACGTACGACGTTCCACGATGTTGCTGACTGACTGATTTGTTCATAATTATCAATCTTTCTCTCTTATCTTTAATTCATCTCCTCTTTTTCTTTTCTATTTCTCTTTTGTATCCAGTTATTATCTAATTTAATTTATCTTGGACAATTATTACATTTAAGTGTTGGACGTAAACCAGTATTGAGAATATTTCGTATTGCTAATAAAATTGCATTGGATGAATTAAACAATAGACCACAATATTATTGTCAAGTATGTTATAATGATGACTGTGTTCGGTTTTTCTTTTCAAATCCTCTATGTTAAATGTTTCTAACTGACTGTTATAGTGTTTTGAATGGAGAAATTATTACTATTATTATTATCAATCATGTATTAGTTATGAGCGATACACATAATCTTTAGAACCTTAAGTAAAAAGTGATGGTCGTCAGCGTTCTTTCATACCGCTGCAGAATGTCATAAATTGACCCCGCCTATTTCGCTCTGTACCAACTTCGAAATGTGATGCACAACTGTGGTGTGGGTTACTTATATCCATATAAGTAGTATATGATGGTGGTCAGACATAGAATGTATTTCAGTAGAAGATCGACAAGGAAAGAACGGGAATGGAACGTAATTGGTATGAACAATAGAATCTGAGACTGATATTCGCAAAAGGAACGGTCGAGTTTGAGACGATGGATTGATATTTTGTAAATAAACTATTTACTGCATAGTTCTCAGATTTTAGTGAGATACTCTGTAATTTCGTGTCAAATACATTCGATTGTCCCCACTCGTGTCCCTGTTTACTACATTGCGTGGGAGATGCTGGGTTAGATTCATAACAGATGTCCAGGTTACTGAACCTAGTGTTTCAGGATGACGACAATCACTGAATTCTCGTCACTGCGCCCCAACGTCATTATTACCAACATGGTGTTGTCATCAAATATCATCACTTCAGAGGAGTCGGATTGTTCTCATGGAACTGTTGTAAACCGAACCCTTCACAGCTAAACTAACACCACAATAGCACCAAAACGATCTAGATCAATATAAGCTGACCTGACTTTTACTATATGTAGATTGATTCCATCACTTACACCCAACCCACCATCAATACTCGTACAACTATCGAGATATGGAATTTTCACTACACATTTTCATCCGTCATATAGAAGCCAGTGAATATAATAATACTTAACAGTCGAAATGACATTAGGACTTCTGTTTTATCACCTAACTTAATTTGAAACTTTCGAATCTCATGTACACCTTCCTGTTTCTTTTTTACAGAGGCTACTGGCGTTGAAATTGACAACTGGCCTTTTATTACGTTTACCCCATCCGAATACAACGCAATTATTTGATATGTTCTCACTAAATACTCAACCTTCAAGTGGTTCTGACAATCAATCAGATGAAAATCCATCCGTTGAAAAACAAGTTCCAGCTTATTTCGCCTACTTAAGATCTGCTTCGAAATTAATAAGTCGAGAATTCCGTCAGCGTGAACGATTAGCTTTTACAGCAGCTTCATCGTTAGCTTCAGCTGTCAACGATGATACAACAGATATTGGCGCCAGAATACGACTACGTGGTATGCATCTTTCTAGAGAACTTACTGTCAGAGCGAAATCAAGACAAAGAAGAGCACAGGTGGGTTGGATGGTCGGTTTTTCTTTTCTGTATCGTTTACTGTGTGATATGCATTCGAGTATACATAATTGAACAACTTAAAGGGGAATTCTCAGAATCCTAGTTCAACCATGTTGAGAATGAGATAAGCATCACTGATAACAAGTGATGGTTGCCACACGACATCGCAAATTCCGGATCACAGGAACTCAATGGTATAAAAGTTACACACTTGACTCGATGTCTGAAGATTGTAGGTTCAACCCTTACAGGAATTTGTGGATGTACACCACTGAATCCCCATACTAGGGCAAAAAGACTGTCTAGTGCTTCATGTTTTCCGATGTCATTCTCAGATATAGACTATTTTCTAAGCATCTTATAAATTTGTGAGTTGATATATTGTTTCCTTTCGTTTATTTTAAAGGCTCGCCTCCGTCGTGCACTCATGTCAGGTACAATTAGACCAGAGAGTGCGAACAGTCTTGTTGCCTCTGTATCAGCTGGAATGGCAAAGGCAGGACCTGATCAATTAGTTGAATTAATTGAGTCAACTGAATCTGCTCTTACCCAAGAACTTGGTGGTGGAAATCACCAACTCATTCAAATTATATGCAGTCGTGCATCGTTAGGCGCTCGTGCTATTCGAGAACGACGTAATTTGCATAAAGCCACTCGTAATGCTCTTGGCATGGCATGGAATGGTCCAGTAAAAAAGAAATCCAAGCTACCAGATGTAATATCTCAACCTTTGGAAATGAATAATTCCAGTGAGAACGAAATTCACACATCTAATCGGTTGCAAAAAAGAAAATTATCTCCGAATAAAGGTAATCTATTTTATATGTTCTGAATGGTTCAGTCGAATGTAATCAGACTGATTAGTATATATATAGCTAGTTCAAATGCCTATTCCTCTGTTTAAGTTTAGGCAACCGTAAATCATGACTCAGTCAGCCATACGCAACGTAGAACATCCACATGTGTAAATCGTTTTAAGTTGCCACAGGCTACTGGCACATCGAGATGATATAGTCAGAGCGAATTCGAAGGTGCGATGCGAAAAAGTACAAATTATCAAAATAAACAAATGTATGGAAAATTTAAACTTACGATCTACAGGAAGGCAAAATGCGAATGGACTTACACCATTTAGACAATTCTGAGGTGCGTTACCTAGAAGCTCCAATTATTGGTCACGACAATGGTACGGACTCGAAACAAATAATCTGCACCTACCTAAATGACTTAGTCTAACTGGTGTGCCGTCATAGTTTTCTTACGTTCTACTCTTACACCAATTAGTGGATGGACATAAGCATCACATGCCCTGGCCATGTTAGTCGATAAAAATTCGCTACCTGTTACGACTTTTGCTTGACTAAATCACCAATTAGAACACCACTTACACGACCTTAACTAGTACTCTGCGTTTAACTTCAGTATTCCCAACTCGACAGTTCCAATGTGTAAGACACCTATGATCGAACAACGGTGACCTACGAATATCATCTACTTCCAAAGGCCATGTTTCACAACCATAAAGTAGAATGAAACAAACTACTGTACAGTAAACTCGTCCATTGGTCGGTTGACAGTTATCTCACCTACGCCATAAGTGACCCAAGTTGATAAAAACCTGCCGAGATTTCTGAATTCCTATCGCGATTTCATCAGACATCATAACTAGTCACTGCACTTAAAGCGTAACTCAAAGCCGATTGCCAAAAAGCTTGTACTTAGGTAGATTCAAGTTACATGAGTAAATTTGCGTTCGATTCACTCTCTGTTTGTTTTAGAAGATGAGGTTCACATTTCATCAGTTTGATGTTCATTGGATGAATATCTACCACATTTTATTACAGAACTATTTAGCAGCAATGTACAAACTGCTAAATATACTTAAGTTGTGATCCATAGAGTGTTTGATCGTTAAACTGCTTGGTCAGTTATAACTAGGCGGAGAGAAGTATAGCCATATTATCACTATCATTCAGCCACTACTACACCACCCTATTGATGGAGTCCATCATATAGAACTAAGCAATTCCCTTTTTTGTTTTCTTTTTCATCTCTGTAGAACATAATCAAAAAGCCACACAGCACAAGAAAACGAAGAAACCGCGAATAACTTTGTGAAAGCATTTTTTAATCCTGTCTTTTTTTGTCTACAATAAATATAAATCGATCAATTGTGAATTTGTGCTTCTGTTATGGTGTAGTACAATTGGTTTCATTAGGAACAAGGTTTTAGTATTAGGTTGTGGAAAATCGACCACCTTTGTGATTTTCTAACCAAAATACACTATTACTTCTGATAAACGGACTATAGTCATCCATCTGACAATCATATCTAATACTGCTTTAAAATGGGCAATTACATAACTATATCTCTGTTAATTATACACCTTACAAATAACATTACCTGATGACTTGCTGACTAATGCGTGTCTAAAGAGTATAGACTTTTTAATTATACTCTGCCGAACGATAATGCATGATCTGTGGTTCGAAATCTTGAAAGGTATGACTAAGATTTGTTTACAGTAGTGCAGTTGCATCCGTGATGAAATTCGATGGCAGTTTATTGGATTGAATAAGATTATGGTAGTTGTACAACGCTTGATACAATAAACAAACGAATCACCACCAGTCAGGAATGCAAACTATCAAAATCTTTTGTTTTTTAAAATATATTTAATACTGGTCACATATTGACGTGATATGGCTCAGAATTAGTCATCATAGAGTAGATGCATTCAGACCAATGCTTTATCTACTGAGATAGCTGCTAACTTATTCAGTGGATATGATGCTTATGTTTTTTATTAGTAAAGGTTCGAATTATTTTGTTTTTGATATGCAGGACTGGATTTTGTTGGTATATATGCGGATTACTTCGATACAGCCAGTTTGTCACAACTTTTATAGAAGATGAATTGTTGCTAGTAGCTAGTAGCTAGGACGTGCGTTTTACCCTGCAACTATTAATAAAGAGATAATCACTGTAGATTATAAACCATAAGAAAGAAATAGTAGTTCATATTCAGTGCATGACTTAACAAGAATGCTACTGAATATTATCGACAATAATCTACAGCTATCTTCATCGATACTTTAATATCCAAGAAATTCAAGCTACAACAGTGGAACTTTGTAGTATTATTCTCGTTTTCCGGTATTGTAATGACCTTGAATATATATCCGCGAAACTAAAACAACATTGCACAAAGATAAACGATAGTCAGTCAGTCAGTAACAATGTAGAACTTCGTACGTACGTACATCAGTTCGAGTTGCCACACCACCTTAGCACAGAGATGCAGTTGTCGATTCAAAGCCCGTAGTGGTAGAGTTAGCAAGAGTAATCGGGAAGATTAGTCATTTGGAGATGTTACTCAAAGAGTATCATCCAGTGAAATAAATTTGGAAAGAGGAAAAAAGGGACATGAAGAATTCAGAAGATTAGAATTTGGGAGAACACAAAGAGTGGATGGTAGACAGTTCAAGATGCACATTTCTCCTATTTAAGATTTGTCGATTGAGGCACACAAGCTTCAGTCAAAATACCAACAATGGGACAATCTAAACCAATTCAAAATAAACATTGTAAATCAACATTTTATTTTTTTGCTAAAATCTACATAGAGATGCACATTATCAGTTAATAAACATTTTGTTAATCCTTGAAGATAAACTCTGAATCCTTGAAAATAATTTTAAAGAATACATTCAATTAATTTTATTTGACCTACTTGAAATAAAAGTGGTCCTTCAAGATCTTTATCACGTAAATGTAGAAAGAAGTCTTGTTTAAATCGAAATAAACTAGGTGGAGACCACTAAAATAAAATGAGATAAATAAAAATTCCAATGGGAAAAAGAAAACAATCATTGGATATATTATAAACTTACTCTACCAAAAAACGCATAATTGGTTACACTTAATAAAGGTGGGATAGCAAATGTTATCCCGGTTACTATTGAAAGCGCTGGAAGAATTTCATACCACATAACGGTGAAGATTACTAAAGCAAAGAAAGTAACAGAAAACCATTGAAATGTACAATTACTATCAACTTATCATTAGCTTAATTTATATTCATATCTAGTGGTTAAGAATGTATAAATATGCACTAATTCACAATAACTAGTCAATGTCAACAAGTTCGGGACGAGGAGGAATGAACAGTTTAGTGGTCACTTATTTTTTGTCAGCGTTTCTCCGGATAACATCAATCCCCGATTGAAGATTTCTTTAAATAATAAGGATGATGAATGGTTAGAGAGCAAACATTCTTTAATGATCTGAAGGATAAGTCAGTCAGCCATACGCAACAAAGAACCTGTCATATACGCCCATCAGTTCGAATAGCCATGCCATATTAGAACAAAGATAAAATTAAAAGACTAGTATTTGAACGAAGAATATTCTTTTCGATAAATTCTCTTCAGGTTTTACAAATTATATAACCAAATTAATAATCCGAAAAATGACCAGGTTAAGGGCAAAGTATATCGTTTGAAGCATGTGAATTTAGGATTGTGATAAACAAAATACAATAAAATTGTTAATGTTAATATGGCTCATATAAAATGTTAACTTGAATCTGCGTATATGTTAAGTGAGATTTAAGATCCATGATCAGAATAAATATGGGTCAAACAGGATGAGAGAGAAATTATAGTGCAATTACAATTCGATCAAATAAGTATAACGACGAGGATCTTTAAAAGATAAAATTATTTCAAAATAAATCTCTGAGTAATAGAATTGCTAACAATATCAGTAGTAAAGTAGAAAAGATTAGGAATAGGAAAAATGATATAAGGCAGATCCATAACTCAGACTCCAAAGCAAAACGTCACTGTGAACCATTCTAAGCCGTATCACCAAGTCTCTAACCATTGGTTAGGATAATCACGCGGACTCCTACTAGGTAAGTGGTTTACGGTTATTAACACGGCTCGGCGCAACTGTCAGTGACCCTATGAACTGTACTATATCGATTTGAATGCCTCTAACTTTCTTCAGAACCAATACATCGCCACTTTATGTAGACGGTGGTTAGACATAAGTAACGCATATCTCAACTATTTCAACCTCATTGTAATATTTACCTATCACGACATGTCGAATCTCGGGGTCACTAACTTGGTGGTCCAAAAATACATGAGCGATACTTTGAAGACGCACCATCGAATACTAATAATCTAGTGATACCCTGTTCATCAAAATTGTTCACCAGTTTGTAGAAAGAACAAGTCCAAACGTAGCTTCATCTGTGAACAGATAGAAATTTGGATTAGAAGAGCAATACACTAGCAGTAGTTAGTAAACAGGACGGTTCTTCTCGGCCACGACTAGCCGTCTTCTGATAAACGCACTAAAACGTATACTTTTTAGATATAACTGATACAACCAAGAGCAATGAGCAGCCCCCCTTTCCTTTCGTCCAGCTGCACGTTTATAACCAAAACAATGAATATTACTTATTTGAACACATTGGTACGAAGGAGCACCGAATACATATGCGCCACACAAGTCACTTGAGTTGTGTGTGAACTGTTATACTAGCCGGGTGCGCAGACCAAAGCAGGTGGTTTTCTTAGGGTGCCACACCCCAAACCTTTGACCTAAAGGTCTAATCCACTAGGCATTGGGGCAGCGTTATAAGATGCAGTCTCATGGTAACCGGTGACCAATAATTGGTTCATACGCCATTTGTTTCCTTAGGACCCTGAAGCCCATATGCACCATTGATTTGGAATCAAGGTTTTTCAACTGCTATAGGTGAGTCCTCCATATCCACCGACCCGGTTGGATATTCTCTTTTCTTCCTCTCAATTTAGCAAACAACACCAGTGGTGCGAGGTGGTGAGTAGGACTTCCCTGGCAGTGGCCGTATACACGTGGCTATGTGAGAGCATTTGGAGAGGGAGAGCCAACTCTTCCCACCCTCGCCGGCATCAGGACATATGGTAAGGACGTTTTTATAAGTTAGATTTTTTTGTTCACGCTATTTATATATTTCAGAGTGCTATACTAGACTTTGAATTAACATTGACCTAGATACATCGAAGTTTATTTTTTAAATCGTTCTCAGTATATGCTTTCACTGGTGACAACTCTATTATTCATTTTTACTTCACATTATCGAGTCGACTATTAAAGAGGCTGATTGGAATAAGCAATGAGATCACTTGTCTTACTTCCACAACGGGAATGATAAAACAGAAAGAATCAACACAAGTACTAAACCTGTCACCAATAACAACATCCACTTATGTGCACTGATTTGGTTAAATATCAATCAAATCGTGATTTTATTCACCTGATTTTCAACTCCTTTTTGATTCAATGAAAATTATGCTAGGTCTTCATATATACTTAGTTATTTGAGGGATTCAAAATGAAATTTAAAGGAATATTTTCCTAAATAAATCTACCAGTCTGATAACTTGAACACGTTTGATTGGGTACTCACAAAAGTTTATTTTAGAGATAATGATACGGACCAAACAAGCTTATACATAATTAACTTATTACTTTCTATTCCTCCTTGATGAATTTTACAAATACAAAATTATGCCACCTATTGTTCCTTAGCAATTCCATTGGGGACTACTGTTTGTCAATATTTGTATCTGTAGGAAAGGACCTACTCGGTAACATGAAGTTAGCAGAACAAAGAGTAATAAATACTTATTAAGAGAATCTAGTGAGAACGTCTGGAATGAAAGAAATAAAACCATAATAGAGTAAATCGAATGAGCCAGCTGGACGCGAGAAAGGACGCCAGAGGTTGACTAGTTGGAGACACTTATTCTTTTTTTACTGTTTACTAATTATTTGCTCTTATTGTGTCCGATTTCCTTGTCTTTATGAAAACTCAGATACAGTAACGGTGAAAATACCTTCAAGTGAATCAAACTCAAAATTTCTGACCAATCACAATCATCTTTACTTACATTCGAGTTTCATGAGTGATAACTAAGAACATAATCAATGTGTATACAGACATTCTAATATATATATGGAGATAATCTTACAGGCAACTAGCCGTGTTCGTTAGCTATTTCGAAAAGAACTAAGGCGAAACAATCTTTCTACATACAATCCATAAGTTGAAGTGCAAAAACAATACTGTGCAACTATACAATAACACTTTCCAACTACTAACATTAAAAAGCTCTTGAACGCGCCCAGAACAAGGATTTAGAATTGTGCGGCCAGTTCAATATCCAATTAGAAATGTATTCAATGTGTGATAACCGAACTGTATAGATAAGGGTGAAAACTGTGTAATCTGGGAAGTAGTTAATGATATTTCGTTATGCAAATAGTATTCGATTGTAAAACATGCATCAGGCATAGACAGTCTAAGATGGAGATGATAATCCATAGGGTTTGTCAAGTTTTCACTTGAGCGCATATTTGGGTGTTCGCTCTTTGATTTACAGTCTTTCGAGAGTTGTCTTGAGGGGCTTGGTGATGACGTTCTGGTAGTATGTCAAACGTAGATATAACGAACTATATGTTTTTTAGATAAACGATAAGGCTTTTGATCATGGAGATATATTCCTTTTGTTTTAGTCTCTCGGATTATTCATGACAAAAGAGTTAATTAATCGTTACAACGATGATAGAATGACGTGTAATAACGTCTTACTGTGAATGATTACTGATGTATCAGTCTAAAAATGGGGATTTATGAGTATCCGCAGCGAATCCTAGCCCTAACCTTATATTATCTATTGAGGAAGTTGGGGTTTCATTTTTGGAGGAAGAACTCCATCTCAGAAGCTGTAAAAGGAGAAGGGGTTAGATTGCCTGCCGGTTTTGGGGCTTTGATGGGAAATTCTTCGGGGATAACCTTGACGATTGCATTAGAAACCGTTTTAAGAACTACTATGTCAGGAGGGAATAGGCTATTTAGTGTATTTTAGAGCATGCTAAAGCAGGATATTACTTTTCTAAAGCCTGGTGGAAGTAGTTCTGACTGAAGGAGTCAGACTCTGTACCTAGCATCCTGTTGTACACTGACTAGCTCAAATTCATGGTCCTACTCTCCATACTCTTGAAAATCTATATAGAATCGAATGTCGTCATGTCGTAATAGACTGTGAATGAAGGTTTCAGAATAGTAAATAGTCGGAGTTCAGCAGAGATTTGTAGCAAAAGCATGTGATTACAACCGGATATTAGTTCTTTCACGGATATTTCAACAGACATTTATTGTGAAGCAGATACTTTGAGAAATAAGGTCTCCTATGTCGTAAAAAAATATCAAATTACTTTTAGCTGTTGCGTTATTGTACGAAACTAACAACACACTTGCAGTCGCCCCACGCTCGATTAGGTAGTTCAATACGTAGCATATTTGTTACTTTACATGTGCTTTCAATGAGGACTTTTCGGTTATTTTAAAGTTGATAGCGTCACAAAAGGAAGGTTTATGAATGAAGTATTGTTATGTAACTAGAATATTTTGAAACAACTGAATTGTTAATATAACTGGATGTCGCGCTGTAAACCGAAGCGTAATATAGGCTTTACCACATCATCTAATTAGTTTGTGTTTTCGTTTAGATTGTCTGCTGAAACAAGACTTATATGTCATCTTATTTATGGTGAAGTCTAATCAAGTCAGTTGGCTCTTTAACTATCTGCGTTAAAGTTGACAACAGGTTCTTATTTCCTACGGAGGTAACTCATAGCTACGCAGAGCTGTATATTCAGACCATCACCAAATGTATAAAGGCTAATGAATGAGAGAATAGTTAGACTCTTACCTCAAGTTATGCAAGCCCAGTGGGCGGACTGGGTAGATGAATTGACTGAAGATAATAGAGAACCGACCTTGACGAGCTTACCCAATTTATGGCATCCCGCGCGAGAGCAGCTAATAGTAGGTTTGGACGATTAGCTAATCGTCCGAGAAAGTGACACAACTTAAAGACAAATTGTCGCTTGCAATTGGAGCGGGAGAATAATTCGAGAGAGAGAGCTA